TAGAGGTGTTCATTATGCAAAATACCTACATGGACGGCACCACTACACAAATCACAGTGCTAGCCATATTATGGTGCTAGATAGACAGTAATACAAAGTTGAGGCGTAACCACGTTCTTAATTTATTGTACTACTGATTGTACTGCATAACTATGTTGATAACATAACCACATATACTGCGTAAATGTACACGTTGATATCTTCAAAATAAAAAATACAAAATTTAAAAAAAAAAAGAGGCACCAAATACTCCGTACCTAGTGAATGTCCCTCCTGCCTCCCATTAACCCTGTACAGAGGTTTCTGCAAAATCTGTAACATGGCCATAGAGAGCAACAGAAGGATGGATTGGCAGAGACAGTTATAATATGGTACGAGAGACAAGAACCGCCTACAAACTGAATGTTTTGCTAAATTCTAGTAACCCCAGCAAATTTGTAGAAGTATCAGGGCAGTTTCTTCGGCGTGATCTTATTTTGTTTTTAGTTCCTTCCTTTTTTATAGGTTTTTTTGGAGGGATTTGTTTTTGCTTGTTTTTTGGAGACTTTTAACTAACTGTGCGTTCTCATACTTTGTGAGTTTGCACATTAAATTTAATGTCACACATTGAGACATCACCCACGTCCCAGGGTACCCACTACGTCATGAGTCTGTTAAATGCCCAGATTCAAAAGAGTATATGCATCAAACTCAATATATCCCCATCAAAAATCACTGTACAAGATCTAGATACATTATATGTGATATCGAAATAATATTAACACTTGTTTTATTAGTCACAAAATAAAACAGAAGATAAAATGTTTTTTTTAATTGTATTTCTTTTTGATTGTCTGCATTTTGTTTTTGAGCGCATTTGCATTATTGACAGGTGAATACATGCTTTAGTGTCTGTCTCCTTCCTATTAAGATCGTGTCCCATTCAGACAGTGCCCTACATACCTACAAATACATTTACCTACATTCAAACGTGACTGCCCACTGACCCCCAGATATGCACCGGGTGATGGGATATATTTTTATCATTATTTCTAAATCTGTTCACCTTCATTAAGCAAATTAATTCCTTCTGTGTCATTTTGTAAGACCAGGCTTCCCCAAACTTCGGCCCTCCAGATGTTGCTCAACTACAACTCCCATGATTCTATGAATTAAATAGGCTGAGAATCATGGGAGTTGTAGTTTAGCAACATCTGGAGGGCCGGAGTTTGGTGAAGCCTGTGTTACTGTAACTTTAACACTTTCATCCTTCGTATCTGTCCTAGTTCTTTTGTAGTGTTTCATTTTTCATAACCATCATAACGGCAAACACAGAGAATTTTCTGAATGCTACCAAAAACGAGTGTGTCTTTCTGCATTACCCCCAAATATTTCAGAAACCCCCATCTTTAAAATTGCTGGGACTATCATGATGATCTCGGCAGGCATTTGAGGTCAGCCAATGAGGTCAGATCAATCATTCATTAGGCAGTGTGGAAGGAGATAGTTTAGTGCCCAATTAAAGGGGGAGTACAGGTTTTAGATGCAATCAAGGCTCAGACGTTAACACCCCTCCCCCCGCCCCCAATACCAAAACCCAACTGCATCTCTAAAGATTTCCTGTTTTTTTTAAAGTGTTTTTTTTTTCCTTAAACGTTTCCTGACATCATTGTTAAATATTTATTTTATTTATTATGTGACATTCCACATAGTGCGTTCACCTGCACAATTTGTCCTTAGATATTACTTCTCGAGCAGATATGGCCTAACTCCAGATGTTTGCAGCGACCTTAGACAAACATCTGGAAAGCCGCGATTCATCATTGCTCTGGAACCTGCGTTATTTTTACACCTGCTGTAATAATGTTTATATTCACATCTGGTTTAAAATAAACCATGGCACACCATTGTCATTCTGCCAAAGTATTTATTGGTACAAAATTAGCAAAAATCTGCACTAGTATAGTGCACAATACGAATATAGTGTCCCCACTGTGTATATTGACATATTCAGATACATAAGATATAAATATATGCTAACAGAATCAAATATATACGCACCATAAACCCACAAGTGGTGCTTTAAGTTCACTGACGCAGAGAGTGAAGATCACAGCTCCAGTGTTTCCGCCTGATGCCCTTATTCAAGGGAAATGTTTTTAAACGATACACCATTTAGCACCCTGTGCAAATTATCCTTGCTTAGCAGTAAACCACTGCAGTTGAGCGCTTCCTTCCTACATTAACAATTTTTTATTCACATCTGGAAACGGATCTATAATCCCACAAAAAAATTACTTTAAACCATTTAATGGTTTTATATGCTAGAATGGTCATGGCGCACTGGAAGTTTCATGAAATCAGGATTCTAACCAGCGAGCAAGAACATTCCATCCAGACACCAGTTCTTTAATTTTCATTTACGTTATTTACGTGCACCTGGAGTCATATCATTAATGTTTTTAGGAATGGATCCAACATCAAAATGAGATAAAAATAGTCCATTACAGCAAAGTCATTCATATCTAATGTCTTCACACAAAATAAAATGTAATCTTCCCACTTACCTGGGACCTCAAAATACCTCTTGTGCTGCCCCTTAAAGTGGAAGTGACATCAATTCCACCTGAATTAGGAGTTAATTGACTTAGAATGTTGGCTTACACTCTCAGAAATAGATACAGAATTGTTATATATTCTGTGGAAGGACTCTCAATATTTAAATATACCAGAACAGAGGCCTAAACTAGAAGGCACCTCAAGTGCCCAGGTAAGTACCAAAACATTTGTAAATAGGTTGACTTCTTACCATGTTATTGCACCAGAGCATTATTGGCCCCATAACTACTAGGGATGTGCATGGGCAAAACATTTAGTTCTGCACTTCCAAAATTCGGGACTTAGACAATTCCCTGCCCCTACCCCTAACACTACCCTTAACCCTAACCCCTAACTACCACAACCACTCACACTTCTAGGGTTCGGGGTTTGGTTAGATTCCGATCATCACTCCCTCTTTTGTTTTGCCACTTTTCGGCACTTCGGCAATTCGGTTCAGCACTTCCGAAATACAGCAATTAGGTTCTGTTCAGCAATTCAGTTCAGCACTTCGGAAATTCAGTCATTCTGAAGTGTCCAAATTGCCGAAATTCTTCCAAATTTACATTCAGAACAAAAACGAATTGCACATGTCTAAGAACTACTACACAGTACTCTTGCCCAATTTTTTTATTTACCGTATATACTCTACTATAAGACGAGTTTTTCGGCACATTTTTTGTGCTGAAAAACCCCCACTCGTCTTATACTCGAATCACTGTCTGTATTATGGCAACTTACATTGCCATAATACAGACCAGGACCGCCAGGCTCATTACAAAACCAGCGGTCCTTTTGGGGGCTGGCAGCAAGCTGTTACCTTTCCTGCAGCTCCTGTCAGCTCCCTTCTCCTCTGTCACGGTCAGCTCCCCTGTCAGCTCCCACTGTAAGGCTCGCGAGAGCCGCGGGGTCAGAGCATTGCCACGGGTTACCGTGGCAACGCTCCGTGCGGCAGTCACACTGCGAGACTTACAGCTCGCTGCCAGCCCCCCTCCTACACAGCCAATGCCACTGGACCACCAGGGAATGTTAAAGCCCCCTCCCTGGCCAGCTAACAAGCAGGGAGGGGGGACAAAAAAAATATAAATACAAATTTAAATAATATAATAAAATAAAAAATGTAATTATAGTAAAATAAAATAAAAATATTAATATTTAAAAAATAAATAAATCCCAACAACGTTACACACTCTGCATCACATACACACACTGCATTATATACACACACTGCATTCATACACATACACACACACACTGCATCACATACACACACACACACACACTGCATTCATACACACACACAGCATTCATTATATACACAAAATAAATGTAATTTTTTGGGGGATCTAATTTATTTAGAAATTTACCAGTAGCCTGCTGCATTTCCCACCCTAGTCTTATGCTCGAGTCAATAAGTTTTCTCAGTTTTTTGGGGTAAAATTAGGGGACTCGACTTATATTCGGGTCGACTTATACTCGAGTATATACGGTAGATATAATGGGGTCCAGAATAGAAACCCTCAGCCTTTTAGTGAGAAATTAATGGCTTTAAAACTTTTTTTTTTTTTTTTTACTTTTCTTTTTTTTTCTGACTTAATATGGATGAATAATATAAATATGCATTACTATCTGGAGTTGATGCTCAATTTGTGGCATTCCCACTACCAGATCCAGTAAATCACTATTTCCCAACACTGGTTTGCATCTGGGCCTTTTAACAAAGCTTGGTGTTGGTCATCTCTTGTTTACAGTTTGTTCGCTTTGGTTGTGTTTTGTTTCTTAATGTCTGTTGATAAGCTAATTACGTTGTCATTTGCAAGTTTTTATATGCGCAGTCTTTCATTATTCCGTGATTATTAAAATATTATTACCAGTAAACCTGAACCTGGAACACAAAGCATGTTCAGGGCGCAACAACTAAATGTTGTTTATTTTTTACAGTCAATATGAATAGAGTAATTTTCACCTGTACAAAAATGGAATCAAATTTACCCTGGTAATTGTGTGTTTTGTCTTGACTCCTTGACATTTACATTAAATTCCAAAATTTTTATTAGTTTCATTATTCATCTTATGTTAGAAAATCTGTTTTTGACTGTATTATCACAAGCCACATACCTGCTTGTACATTAACAACATTGTACTTTTCTCAGTTCATGTAGATCTTACTAAATTAATAAATTATAATGAGGATTGTGTTGTCTTCTGAATTATAGTATAGTGATCAATTATGGGGAAAAAATACCCAGACCCATGGTTTTCTTACTAATTTATCACATTTTTCATGGGGGATTAAGTAACTTGGCTTAACACAATATGTGCTTCTTGTATAATTTTATGTAAGTTTGGTTGTTTTTTGTTTTTTTGCCAAATACGTTGGTTAACATTTAGTTTTTTTGTGTTTTTTCAGGTCTTACCCAGACATGGCTGTATGGATCCACGCTTTCAGCATCCTGAACTGTATCATATTGTTATCGAAAGCAGAAGTCTTTAAACTTTTTACCAGTGACAATGAATTAAATCACTTGGCAGTTGACCATAGCACTGGTACCGTTTATGTGGGAGCAGTCAACCATCTTTACCAACTTAATGAGAACCTTTCGCTCCTCGTTAATGTTACCACAGGGCCTAAACTTGATAAACATGTTTGCACGCCACCCATTGATGCAAATCAGTGTCCAAATGCTGTGATGACAGACAATTACAATAAACTGCTATTACTAGATATTTCTAAAAACCGAATAGTTGTATGTGGAAGCATTTTTAAAGGAATATGTTCCCTGAGGTCCATGGTGGACATCTCAAGTATACAATCTTATGATGATACGAGAGGAGAAAAATCTTTTGTTGCGAGTATCTATGAGAAAATTACTACTGTTGGTTTGGTCACCGATATGTCCCCTATGGGTCCAAGGGTTTTATTTGTTGGAAAAGGCAATGGCCAATATGACAATGGAATAATTATTAGCACACGGATACTTGATCAACAAGGGGACAAAGATCCCTTTGAGACCTACATGGATTCGGCAACCTTCAAGCAGGCAGCTATCAGTACCAACTTCCAGCATTTTGTAACCGCTTTTGAGGACGAAAATTTTGTGTATTTTGTCTCCACCCAGGCTGATAAAAATTCCAATGGCAATCGAACACTTATTACCCGTTTGTGTAAAAATGATTCCAACTACTTTTCCTATATTGAGATGGATTTGCAATGCAAAGACAAAGATGGGATCAGCTTTAACATATGCCGCTCGGCATTCATTACCGAGCCTGGGGAGAAGTTGGCAAGTCACATATTCACGTCTTCCGAAAATGGGAAGGTGCTTTTTGGGGTTTACAGTAAAGATGTTCCAAATCAGGAAACGACTGCCCTTTGTATGTTTTCGCTAAGGGACATAAATAAGAAATTTGAAGAGAACAGAGATGCATGCTACACTAGTAAGACGGACAATGTATTCAAAGATGGCAAGAAGATATTTTACAAGCCATATGGTGCAGAAATCAAATGCGGAGGATCCAGTTTATCGGTATATTTATTTTTATATATTTCCTTATGTATTTTTTTACTTTTAAATAAGTGCATGGGTCCAGTATTAGCTCATAGTTATATACAGCAAACACAATGATCATCACAATCCTGTATAATGCAAGTTTTTATTAGGAAAAAAAAAAAACAAAGAAAACATTCACACGTCACAAAGTTCATGAAAAGTTTGACCCTGCAAATGTTAGAATTCTTATCTTTATTAAGATGGTGTTGGTCAGTATGTGTAGGTGCAACAGTTGTATTAGACAATTTTTTATGCTTACTGGCCTTTGAGTTGGTGCCAGTCAAGGAAGGTGCTCCCAGCGAGTACTTTCAAGCTATCATTGCTGTTTAGAGCTGGGCACACACTTGTTTCAATTATAAATGATATTTATACATCTGCATTCGGGAACTTTAAAAATCACATACTTTACTGATTAAAGGGACACTATAGGCACCCAGTCTACTTCAATTTAATGAAGGGGTCTGGGTGCTAACTGACCCCCTGTTTTAACCCTGCAGCTAAAAAATTGCACTTCTGCAGGAGCAGCAATGGGTTTATTACAGGGCTAGCCGGCCTTTAGGGGCTCACAGCCACAGATGGTCTCAGAGAGACCATTGGATTGGAACAGCGCAGCTCCCATCATTCCCAGCTTCCCAGTGCTGTCCGTATTTTAATTATCTCCGCCAAAGAGGCTTAGATTGCAAGGGCATGATCTATACACAAAAACAGCTTTATTAAGCCCCTAGAAACTGTTTTTGTAACTATACTTTAAATAGTTTATCCCTTTAGCGTATGAGAAATAACCCTTTGTTTCCTGATACACAATCGCTGCACAGTTAAAGGGACACTCCAGACCCCTATTTATTTATTTATAAAATATTCTACCAGGAAAGATACATTGAGATTTCTCTCGTTTTCAAGTATGTCCTGGGCCCACAAAACATTGCATTGATACATTAGGGTACAATAAAATACAAAAACAATATTAATACACAATAAATACAAAATTTACCATAGAACAGGTAGGAAATATGTAATGAACCATAACACGTGCATTCTGTTTTGAGGTATGTAGAGAGGGATCTCTTAAAGGACTTTAGGCTTGGGGAATATTTGAAAGTGTGCGGGAGGTCATTCCATAATTGCGGTGCTCTGTAGGAAAAGGAGGATCGGACCGCTTTCTTTTTGTATTGAGGAAGACTAAATAAAGTGCTGGTACTGGATCGGAGCTTATAGGAGGTGGGAACAGGCGGGGAGAGCATTCTGCTCTGGTAGGGTGGGAGCTTCCCAGAAAAGGAATCCAAACGCACCTTTCATCTTTTCAGCCTTGTTAGGCATCATCATCTTCGGATATGTTCTCTCTGTAATGGCACAAGATGAGTTAAAACCAGCTTGAGTTCTGAGCGGGGATCCACCGAAGGGCAGGCTTTTCAGTTTCTGTCCGTTCTCAGAATACTCTTGCGACCCCCAATAAAAAAAGCCTAATTAGATGCATTTATGTCTTAATTTAGGATTTATACTACACAGTGATTTTTTTTATTATTTTGTATTTGGGCAGTGGAGTGTCCATTTAAACAAACAAACAATACTGCCTTTATATCTGGTAAACACAAAAACAAAAATCATCACAGAGCTCCTTTGGCACTTGGAAGCTCCCGTATGATTGCAAACACATTTTCCTCTTCAAACAAAAACATGTGACTTAAAGTGACACTATAGTCACCAGAACGACTACAACTTATTTTATTTTCCTTTAGGCTTTTTGCAGTAAACACTGTCTTTTCAGAGAAAATACATTACAGCCTAGTGATCACTCCACTGGCCACTCCTTAGATGGCTGCTAGAGGTGCTTCCTGGGGCAGTGCTGCACAGTGTGACAGCCGTTTAGTGTCTCCTCCCTCTGCATGCAGACACTGAATTTTCCTCATACAGATGCATTGATTAAATTCATATCTATGAGGAGATGCTGATTGGCCAGGGATGTGTTTAGCTTGTGCTGGCTCTGCCCCTGATCTGCCTCCTCACAATTCTCAGCCAATCCTATGGGAAAGCATTGTGATTGGCTCAAAGAATCACTTCTGATTATGTCAGCTAAGCAGGCAGATCAGGGGCAGAGCCAGCAGCTGCAGACTTGAATATAAGTAAGATTTTACTATATTTAGGGAGGCAAAGGAGGGCATGCAGGGCTAAATTGTGGTTTTAACACTATAGGGTCAGGAATACATGTTTGAGTTCCTGTTCCTATAGAGTTCCTTTAATGTGCTTTGCAAAAGTTGCTGGGGCTGTCTGACAGTCTCTGCAGGTTTCTTTTACTTCGTCCGAGAAACCACTCCATGCAAAGATGCGAGAATTGCTCATGGCAGAGGAATCAGCCATATTTGTTCCTGTTAATTTCAATTAAAACAGAAGTTGGATAAGTTTTTGAGACATAAACAGATTTCTGTGTTTTCCCATAAAACTAGGTTCAGAAGTAGATAAGGAGGTTAATGATAAAATGCAAGTTCATTTTTTTTTTCCCGTAAAAATCATGTATTTCTTATCACACAAAACAACAAGGATGACTTTTGATCAATGGACTCACATGTATTCTTGCACCGTAGTGCTGAATATTTTGTCTTGCGAATCAGTAACATTTGTAGAGATTGTACATTATATCCATTATTTTTTTTTACCATTTTTGACCTACAGTTGTGTAGCTAGCTAGGTACTTTTGTTATGAGCATACAGAATGTCTCAGACCACTTTTCTGACAGTGTGTTTTTTTTTGTTTTTTTTTGAAAACCGTGTATTATAAAGAAATACTGATAATGTAAGCTGCCGGAATGTTAAACCACTCCTGTAACTGGCTTACGGACAGAGTTTGTAGTTTGATATTAAACTGTAATAACGGTATCTTTGAGAGCCCTAAAAATTACTTTGAAGAATACCTTAATTACACAATCTTTGCAGGGACTGTAATTTGCTTTTAAAAAATCCACTCTCTTTTTTTTTTTTTTTAAAGCACAGTTCATTTTTAACTGACTTTATTTTTTGTCTATCATTTTGTGGAATTTGCCATTAATAATTCCTGGAAGGTCCGTGAATCAGCACGTAATATAATGGGGATAATATTGCTCTGTCTTAGTTGACTGTACCCATAATCCTCTGCAGCTATATAATATGTAGACAGTCATTGCCTGAAGAACCCTCAGGTGCATTAATCTGTTGGATGCCTTGCCCTGTTACCCCTGTATGTTCCTTAACAAATTGTCCTATAATGTAGAGGCCAGGGCCAAATGTTAGGAGCATGGCAAAACTTTAATTAAAGGAACACTTCAATACCATTATTACTATAGCTGTAGTAGTTATGGTGCTAGGAGTGCCCTGGCAACCCCCTCTTCCCCACGTAAGTAGTCAAACTTTGAATTTTTAACTGGGTGCCAATCGGCTCTGATCCCTACCTCCACTACTGATGGTGGAGAGATGGAATCGGCTCTGATCCCCACCTAAACTACTGATGGTGGATAAATGGAATCGGCTCTGATCCCCACCTAAACTACTGATGGTGGAGAGATAGAATCTCTCTGTCTGTGGTCTCGTGGTCCATAACTTACATTAGTTCTCCTGAGCTGAGCTTACAATTTAAGGCTAACTTAGTGGCTGAACGCTCCACCTGATCGCTTTCAGCCAAGTTCTGCACTGCCAGGCTTAGATCAGGGGAGCTAACAGAAGTTCCTCATCGGTAGTAGAGGCAGGGATTGACAGCTGGTAATCCACAAGTAAGAAGTCAAACTGTTCTAAATTGGTAGTGAAAGGGTGCCAGGGTACTGATGGTACCATAACTACTACATTAGGCTGTAGTGGTTAAGGCTTGGAAAGTTTATTAGGCAATACAAACTTTGAATTATTCAGATTCTTGCACACACTTTACTAGCCACTTTCTTGAGCACATACCTAATGAACTGTACTCACAGTCCTACCACATCAGCCAAAATACTACATACAAAAACGGTGTAGTTATGGTGTAGCCAGTTGTCACATGTGTTGTGGGGTCGCATGTAGTCATATGCTGTGTTTAAATCATATAATGTTCTCTTTCTTATATCCTTTAAGAATCCAGCCAGTAAGTATCCCTGTGGAGATGAGCACTTACCGTACCCCTTGGAATCACGAGATGGAGTGGTGGCAGAACCAGTGTTGGTGCGAAAAACGAATCCATATACCTCGGTTGCTATATCAGTTGTGAATGAGCATACGGTTGCATTTTTGGGTACAGCCGAAGGGAAGCTTGTTAAGGTAATTCTTATGTGTTGAAAGAGAATATATCTTGAAGTAAAAACCGAAGTTTTATTTCCTTCTCAACAAGAAATCCGCAAACTTCCTAAAATGTGTTTATTTTGTTACTCAATCCTCAATGAACAGAGCATGGTCGCAGTGCACGGTCACGCTGACCTTACATTTTACCTGAAAAAGACAGTGGGCAATAGAAGGATATACTCAGCATATTCTCTATTTAAACAGTTTTCTAGAAAAGGCCAAGCAAATATATTGACTTGCTCTTTGACTCAGGAGCTTGTAGTTTGGCCCATAGGAGCGATGTTCAAATGCTCCAAACTCTACACCGAAAGTTTTACTTTGAAAACATTGCATTCTTTTTGTCTCTTAGTACAGTAACTATCAGATAACGTTGATATAATTGTGGGTGTTTTAATTGAAGTCAATTCATGAAGATGATGCAAAATAATATTCTGATAATATTTTTATTGGACAATCAGTCCAGTCAATAGCAAGATTCTGTAATATAGGATTATTTTTTTACTTTTTGCGATTTTATTTATTTATTTATTTTGTAGCAGTTAAACTCATGATCGATTTTTCTTGCAGGCCTTTCTAGGGGAACAGTCTAGTGAGTACAAGACAATACACTTGGACTCACACAGTGCAGTGAAAGATGGCTTGGCCTTTGATGCGTCTAGAGAACATATATATGCAATGAATAAAGAAAAGGTATGTTATTTATAGTCTGCACACATTTTGTTTTGTAATCATATTCTATGTGTACATGTTTAAATCATATACACCGATAATCGTTCTTAAAGGTTAGAACAGTTTGTTTTTTGGGTTTGTTAAAAATTTTTTTATAGTGGAATATTTAATGCTATGGCATGCTATAGGTTGGCTGGCTGATTTTAAGACAAGGTTCCTTGAGTTTTAGAAACTGGAAGTCGTCGTTCATTTTTTTTGTTTTGTTTTGTAAATCTTGAAACCATTTGAAATGTGCCTTTGTTGTTGTTTTAATTGGACTGTACAATCAAATTTGTGGTAATGCTCACAAGCATTTTGTTTCCTAATATTGGCCTCAAATTAATATTTTTGGATACTCTTTTAAAAGTATTTTATTTTTTATTTTATTTTTAATATTACATGTCAAACAATATATTAATAGATAAAAATGTATTAACAAATTTAAATATTTCTAAAAATTTTAATAAAGCTAAAGAAAGTTTTCCCAAAAATATTTAATCATTTGAAAAGCTTATCGAAAAATATTAAATCAAGGTCATTATGTGATCTGTGTAGGAAGTCTGGTAAAAGACAACATTGTTTTGAAATAGAACATAGTATAAAAAAAATATTAGACAAGAAAAAAAAATGAAATCCAGTTTTGGTTTTTTTGTTATGAAAAAATTATATTTTTATTGAATGTTTGTTTTTTTTGTCTATCAAGATATACAAAGTTCCTGTCCAGAAATGCCATCAATATTCGGACTGCAATCAATGCATTCAGGCAAAAGATCCTTATTGTGGCTGGTGTGTGCTAGATGGAAAGTGAGTTTAGAAATTAATAAACACGTTCACTTTTTTCCCTTCTGAAGTGAGCTTAAACTGGTATTATGCTTTTTTAATGTTTGACCCTAGCTGCCTCTGTTTTGCCATGATCAGCTGCCATTTTCAAAACATTTGATTGGCTTACTCTAGAAACTTGATGTGCCTTGTGCAGTTTAATGTACAGAATATACTTGTACAAGTTCTGGAATGTGTAATAGCAGATGTGTGTTTTAAGAAGTCTCATGTCTCTTCTTTTATTTTTAATAATGGCTGTAAAGTGAATATAGAATATCCCCGTAGCTTCGTTTTAAACACGTACTGCTTTATTTGCCAGTAGAAGAGACGGAAGAAGCACAAGGCATTGTGAAAATAGCTTCAGGATAAGTCAGCAGTTCTAATTAGGACATGCTCATCGTCTTGTTGTCCCTGGGCAACTGTATCTTGACAAACCTTGAATGCAAGTCCACAAATCCCAAGCTGTAGACCTGAAGTAATAAGTGGCAAGGTTTATCACTCAAGGTTTCAAGGTGGATCTCTTTTGATGTGATGTATGACCTTGTAAAGACAAAAATAAATATTTTGCAAAAAAAAAACAACAACCTCTGTCTGTGATGTACCTGCATGATTTACAATGAACCATGACTTCACGTGATTTTTAACACTGTGCTTACCTCTCCTGATAATTAGCAAATATGTGTTTGTGAGGTCTGAAAAGTAAAATTAAATGTAAAAATCCATACCTCTGTTTTCTGGAACCAAGCACTTCCATCTTAGCTCCCTGTGTGACATTGTTAGATGTGTTACCATTTGTACCGGACACTCTGCATCGAGAGAGGAAGAAAAACAATTTTTTTTTTCCCGTTCCTCAATGCAATGTGTGCCCTGACTATGCCAGGACTGAACTAGCTTCTTTTTTTTTAAATTTATTTAAAATAAAATGGACATCTTTTGAAGAAAGTTTATACAAGCTGATTTTCCATGTTTTATTTTATGGTGTAATTTACAGAGAAGTCTCTCTTCCTAGTGTGCATTCTCTTTTTTATAGTATTATAATTTACAGAGAAGTCATGACTCCCATTTATATGGACATCACAGGCTCGAAAACTATCTTTTAATGCAGACTTAAAATATTTTGATAGATTTTGTCCAGTTCATCATTAGTAAATTAATATTTTTACAAAATAAAGTACAAGTTGAATGTGTTACAATCATTTAGAATCTTTCTCAACGCTCTGTAGATGTACCACGAAAGGAGACTGTCTGAGTGCCGGGGAACCAAACCACTGGTTGTGGAGTCGAGACGGAGTTTGCATAAAGGTCGAGAGTGCAAACCCGCAGAATATGAGTGTGATGGCCCCTGGCAAGGTGAATAAACTGTAAATGTATGAGCAAATTGCACCATAACCCATTGTCATAGATGATTTTTGGGGCCCTCAATCTACAATTTCCCCTAAATTCCTCTGCACTTTGTGTATTTTTGTAATTCGAGCTGTGCGCTATGTTCGGGGCAATGTAGCATTCTCTGTGGTTGCAGAACATGATATTCTTCAAATTCCAAGTTGTTATTAATTTCTCTCTGTATGCGTGATGGGTTACTTTTGTTAATAAATTACATATTCAAATACTTAGTAATCTCTTACTGTGATTTTCCCATTCTTTTTATCTTCCACTGTTATCTTAAAAGTGATGATGCAATTAGTTCTCTTTTTATAGATCTTTTTAAATAACGAATAGATAACATAAATATTTAATTATCAGAATATTAACTGGAGTGCAAATGATGCTGAAATATCCTTTTCATTACAGATTCATGGTGCAAAAAAAATTGTTTTTCTTCTTCTAATTAACTTTTTGTAGCGTTGCTAAAGTACAGTATTTCAAAATGATCTGCAGAAATCTGTATTGGTAACTGTGCTCTGTATCTACTTATATACGTAAAATATGGTGATGCTGATTATTTTAACATCATTTTCAAACAGGTTATTTTAACTGTAAATCCACCTGTAACCTTAAAAGATGATGACCACCTAATGTGTATGTTTGGTGATAAAGTAGACAACGCTGAGCTGCATGAAGATGGGACCATATCTTGCCCTCCTCCTGACAATATTCCTGAAACCGAAAAAGGGAACGGTAAATAATTATCATAAAGTTCTATATGCCAATTATAAAACCTAAAAATAATCAGGTTAGAAGAGCAGGATGTACTTTTCCTCACTAGCAGAATTCTAATAAAATAGTAAATATTTAGATTTTTATCACTTCATAGAGTTACATAGAATGTAGGTTTTAATTTATCTTTAAAAAAAAAAAATTGTATTTCATTATTCTATAAATACATGTTTAAAACAGTGCATATACTATATTGTATCTGACATTGCTTAATGTATTTTTTTTTGTGTGTGATGTAGCCGCATTAACTGTAAATATCATTTGAGTCTTCTTTCTAAGTTAAAGCCTAGATCTCGAAACACTGATTTGTTGTGGCGTATCAACTTGATAATTGTATTTATTGGCTAAAATGCTTTGATTTATTTTTTTAATACAAGTTGCAACTTGCCAACATATTTGATTTGATAGATAGAAGAGGTACGTAAGGGAACATTGTTTAAATACGTTAATAATGTGGATGTTACAACTATAAATATGATTATTAATAACTAAAATGATGTAATAATATTTAGAAATTCACTCTATGAACAAGTTATTGATAAATATTTCCCTATACAGATTTAGGAAAACGGACGTAGAGTGTAATGAACTTGGCAGGCCCTATATTTTAAAGGTTAATAGGGTTGATTTTAAGAACAGATTTAGCATTTTCAATTAGCTGGAAAAATATATATTTATGAAAACTGTTAAACTTACCCACAATTGTTCTCGTAGCAGAGCTCTGTATGGGATCAGCTCCTCAGTCTATTTAATCTGGTGTTAAAATGCCATTCTAATAAATCCTTACTCTGGCATTAAAATGTCAAGTGCTTTAATCTTTAATGTGCACAGTTTCTTTGCACATATTTCTCAAGGAACAAATACAGAAACTACTTCAGATCAAATGACCCACTGATTTCAATAGAAGTTTTGGTTGGAGCGATTGATTAATTACCACAATCTTGCTGTGATAAATATAAGCACTATTAGCTGATGAAGATACAGTTTCAAGAGCAGTTTTTAGTTTTTTTTTGTCTTGTTTTGTTTTTTTATAAAATGTAATAAGTTGCAGGATGTGCACCTCTATGAAATGTATCCATCCTTACTCAACTGTCTCACACGTTTTTTTAGTACTTGTATAGAGTGTATCCCTCTATGGATAGATCTGATTAGCAGAGACATATTTGTGGGGTTTCAGAAGCAATATTTGTGATTAGTATTGACTTTCGGGCCTGGAACAGCATAATCCTATTTCCTCTGTATCGGGACCAGTAGGCAAACAATATTTCAGATGCTCCTGAGTGGCCACTGGGCCACCGAAGGCCACCTTTGGTCAAGTACTCGTCTATGTATTTTACTTACTTGTTTTTCTTTTTTTCTCAGTGTCTCAGCAATTCAGTGTTTCGTTTTTTTGTTTGTCTATAATGTGCAATGTGCGTTCTCCCAGAATAGTCCCATTTTCAAGGCTTTAGTTTTACCCGACCTATTGCATTCTGACTGAATTATATTCCATTCGTTAACATTGAATATTGTTTTTGTATTTCAGATAATGTGAATGTCACTATTAATCTACACTTTGAAAAGGGCGAAACTGTGTTTTTTGCTAATTATTCGTATCCATTTTATAACTGTAAACAAGCAATGTATCTCTCCGAAAATTTGCCGTAAGTATTTATACCATGACTTCAGATATGCGTAACATTAAACTGCTATTAAAGCCTATAACAAGTAACAATTATCAGAATGTATCTAGGCAGTGTTATGCCCATATTGTCATACCCCTACTTATACCCTTTGTTTCACTATACCCACTCCCTCTAGCATGTAAGCTCATTGAGCAGGACCCTCAACCCCTCTGTTCCTGTGCGTCAAACTTGTCTGGTTACAATTACATGTCTGTTAGTCCACCCATTGTACAGCGCTACGGAATTTGCTGGTGCTATATCAATAATAAAATAATAATAATACTATAAAATGTATTAATGAATAGCCTAAATCCCATTGGTGCATTACTTTATTTTGCCTAATGAGGAAACTGATAAAGGCAAGCCTGTGTAAAATCATTCTTGCCACTTTCATTAGTATTATGGAGCATGTCGTTTTTCTACAACTGCCGAGCTACCTGCTGATTACTCCAGAAAAGCATGCTACTATTTCAACGAAGGAATCTAGTCTTGCATCCCTTTGAAGTATATTAACAGATACATTTATAAACGTGTCAATAACACAAATAATTGCTGCTTTTGTTACAAATATATGAGAACTACTTTCAATGTGTGTTTACGTGTTAATTTCTCTAAACATTTAATTGTAGTATTGTAGTGGTTATGGTGCTAGGCAGCTAAGTCGTACCATGGTTACGGTGCTTCAATTACTATATCTGCTGCCAAATGAAATATATGAACACTAATGCCCGGGCATCTGCTTTGGTTTCAGGTGCTCTTCTTGTGTGAACAGTCAGTGGAAATGTCAGTGGGCACCAGATAAACACACTTGTTCGGATTTTAACTTAGATACGGTAAGTCATTGTCACTGTACTTACTTTGTGTTAATGCTGCGTTCCAACCTGGACTCATTGCGATAGAACAAATAAATAAATGACACATGTTTGGTGGCCATCATGGAACTTCCAAGCCACATGGCCAGGTGTCATCTTGGAACTCCATAAACACAGTGAATTCTAACACAGCAGTTATTGTGAAACCCTTTGAATTGCTCAAAATGATTCATCCAAAACGATGAACCACAACACTATTGAAACGGCTCTGACCAAAGTATCAAACAATTTAATCACTGCAAAATCTAGTGGTCACTATTCTATCTTAATTCTCCTTGACGTTTTGCTGTTTTTGTTGGTCATCAACAACTTCTTCACATCCTCCGTAATCTCGGTCTGCGAGTTACTGCTCTCTCTTGGTGCTCCTCCTATCTCACCCAGCGCTCTTGTATTGTTTCTTTCTCTGACTCTGCCTCTTCTCCACAACCACAATCTCTGTTGATGTTCCCCAAGTTTCTGTCCTTGGTCACCTGCTGTTCTTGATCTACATTGCTTCCATTGGTAAACTCATCAGCTCCTTCGGCTTCGAATGTCATTTCTATGTGGATAATAAGCAAATCTATCTGTCCTCTCCTGATCTCTCTCCGTCCCTCTTGACTAGTGTCACTGACTGCGTCTCTGCTATTTCTAACTGGATGGCTGCCCACTTCCTTAACCTTTTCCTGTCTTTCTTCTGTCTAGTACTGTTACTCCTGTTTCTCTCTTCCTCCAAGTCAAAGGCGCTTTCATAATTTTAACCTCACAGGATTGCTGCCCAGGTGTCCTCTTTGACTCCAAACTTTCTTTCGCCTCTCATGTGCAGTCAATTGCCAAATCCTGCTACATACATTTACAAAAACATAGCGGTCATTCTCCACTATATACTGCCGGACACGGCTAAGGTGCTAGTCCATGTCGCCATCTTCTCTCGCCTTGACTACTGCAGTCAGCTTCTCAATAATCTTATGTGTTCCCTACTTGCTACATTACAGTCTATAATGAATGTAGCGGCAAAGATCTTCATCCTGTCAATCTACACCTCCCAGGCCTCCTCCCTCTGTTGGTCCTTACATTGGCTTCCCATAAGATACAAGGCTCAATTTAAATTTCTGTTACTTGCTTACAAATATATACCTAACAATGCTTCTACCTACCTATCCTCCCTATTATACAAGTATGTCCAATCAAGGCCTCTATGCTCCACCGTCTATCCCTTGTCTGTACTCACATCTCTGATGCTTGCCTTCAAGACTTCTCTAGGGCTGTACCTCAAGGTCATAGCATGACTTAAAATATGCAGTGGAGTGCAACAAATTTAAATAACAAAATGATCTGTCAATCACTGTGCCAGAAATACTTCTACAGGAGTTATGAAAATCCTGCTGCACGTATGTTTTATAATCTGTGCATCTTTTGTATCAACCCTCTCGAAGGCTTGATATCACATAGTTTGAAACATTGAATCTGTCACACAAAAAAAATCTGTTTGTTGTTTTAGACTTGACCACATTTCAGAACTTACTGTTAAAGCGGCACTGTCAAGCTAAACTTACCTTTCCCCAATCGATTAATCTCTCCCTCTGTCAGGATCTGTTCTTCATTTCTTCCTGTCTGCTCTAGTTTTCTTTAAACCATAAGACAAAGTAGGGACTATTTGTCTTAGGAGGTTTCCTACACCTGACCATCTCTGACTAGCAGAGGGGCAAAGTGTGCTCCGTTTCCTGAGGTCAGAAAAATTTTCCCACAATTCTTACCTTTCCTCTATGATCTCGCGATGCTTCCTGTCAGTATTCCCGAACGCCGGCAAAACTACAGAATTTGGGGGGCCTAAATGAAAAGTCCAGACGGTAAAAAAAATAATCCTTCTTATAGAGCCTTCCCACGCCCTGCAATTAAGCTCATAGCGGCCTGATTGATTGGTTTCAGTTACCTGTCACAGCACTCTGATTGGTTGGCTTGAAATCATGGGTGGGGGTAGGGGGGTGACAATAGGTCCCCCACATTGTCATTTTAAGCCCCACACGTCATACATGATTGATGGCCATGGGGGAGGACAAAAGGTCACTCCTCCCCATTTTCATTTAGGGCCCTCACCCGCCGCTCATGGGTGGGGTCTGGGGCGAGGACAATAGGTCCCCCCTTTATTGTAATTTAGGGCCCCCACCCGCGGCTCATGAGTGGGGCCAAGAGGGAGGACATTAGGTCCACCCCCCCCCTCCCCACTGGGGACCAGTGGTTTTACTTGGTCAGTGCAGTCATACTTACTGATAGCTACTAGGGGTTGATTTACCAAAAACGGCCATGTTATAAATTGCACGGTTAAGAGGACACTGCACCCGGACCACTTTATTGAGATTAAGTCTTGGTGACTATAGTGGTCCTTCAATGGTGTTCTTTGATTGACCTTGGGAAGGAATTGTTGTTGTCAAACTTTGACTCTGGTTTGTTACAGCAGAAGCCCTATTCTCATGTGACGGCATATGTCTTATTTTTAAACCATGCCTCCACCAACTCCTTGAGTGATTTGCAATATAATTTCAGATGAGTAGGAGAAAATAAGACAGAACACCCTGATAAATAAACCATAAATATGCACTTAAGGAATTTACTATGTGATATATGGAAAGTAAAATGTTTGTGTTTCATTTTCAGGTGAATGAAGGAACGATCACAAGGGTAAGTTATTTTGTTGACTGGTGTGAATGTTTATTAATACTATTAATGAGAATATTGCAATGTGGGCTGATAGGGTATTCACTGAAGTGAGATTTACTGGGAATTTCAAACTGAAGACCAAACTAGCCAAACTGAAAACAGAACTGATTAGGAGAATTTTTCTACTTCGGTTATTTTGGCCTACAATTTTTAATTCACTTTGAATTCTGGGCAGCTCATACCTCGTGAATAACCCATGCCGTGAAAGACAAAAAAAAAAAAAAAAATCAAAAATCAGGTTTTGTGAATAACTGATTGAGTGGAATGTTATTGATACAGTGTGGCATGCAGTCTGTGTCTGCACAAGAAACAATGTAATGTTTAAATCTTATGATACACCGGTACCCTGTGTGAATCCCTCCCAACCGTGCTCCTATAACGAGCAGTAGGTGTATGTTTGGCCTAAGCGGACGCTCAGATTGTTTATTTGCTTGGACCTGCTACTATGGTAGTGGTCACTCATCCAAGCACTGTACATTTTTGTGAACTACATTCCCCATGATGCTTAGCAAGCCATTTGAATAAGAGCTGCTGTGCACAGATATCTAAGATTCCTAGATTGGCTATTACTATCTTATGATATTTGCGGGTTGTTCTTTAAACTATATTGCTTGTGTGGCTGAGATCTAGAGGATAAAATACACCATTACACCATTTTGTTTTCCTGTTGTTAGGAAGATATTGTCTCTATTTTCCTTGTGGTTATACCTTTGCTGGTGGTCTTTAGTGTTTCTGTTTTGGTGGGCTCTTAGCAGTCACCCATGCGAATCCCTGGAGTTTAGTTAAACCAGAATACAGAGTAATTATGAATCAGTCCAACCAGATATAGTAATCTTAGAAGCAGGGCTGTGGAGTCGGTACACAAACTGCCCAACTTATGGTACCTCTGACCCCTTAAGTTGTATTTTACCCTGCATCGTTATAATACAATTACTATATTACACTTTACCATGTGTGCGGGAGTATAAGTCGTTAATTATTTTGCCCATTGACTTAGAAGAATATAGACCTAAACCAATATTACAGCTCTAATTTTGGGGGTCTATGATGACTTCTGAACTGTTTGAGCTTTTAAGTAGCGAATTGAATATCTGATTTCATAATGTAGGTGAATATAGTGAAGGAGTTACTATAACATACTTAATTATGTTTTATCCAAATGAACTATTTTTATTTTAATAGTTTTTTCAAATTTGCAATTCGGTTTCGATTCAGTCCAACTTGATGTTTAGTAAATAAACCCAAGAGGTTAGTAATTTGTCTGAGTTTTCAGATTTCCGACATTAAATTTGAATCCCTCGTAATACACGAACATCTGGTAATTGGTATGGGTTAGAAGTGTACAAATCCATGCCTGTGTGCTTTTCGATAAACCCCTCGATATGCTACTATCGTGTGTCATAGCTAGAGAGCTGCTTGTGTGCATTTACATGCTGGCTAAGGATTAAAAGGTTGATGCTGAGCTTAGCCGAAATATTATGTTGTATCATGTGAAATCCACAAAACCTGGCTAAATACCATAGACTCCATTTACATCAACATTCTCGAGTGCAGCTTGCGTTTGTATGTGCCAATATTTTCCTACGTGATGGTGTAATTTACTAACCATGTTATAAATGTGTTCATCTTTTGGCTATTTGTTTAAATCCTTTCCTGTAATGTCATACTGTAACATAGTCACTATTGCACAACTACATAGTGTGAAGTGGTTTATTACTAAATCTCATATGCTCTATTTTTTATATAAATGGCTTTTTCGCCTATTTTTTAATTTGCTGATTTACCGTGCGTACTTACCCATATACCAGAAACTTAGATAAGTCGAAACCGCAAGCAGTCTAATGATTACTTGTTTCCAAGTGAGTCAAATATTTATAGAGGGGCTTAAAATAATATTTTATACCAGAGGGTTTTTCCTCCTTTTCTCCCGTTTTTCTTTTCATGAAACATTACATTTTTGTTGTACATTGTACGACTGTGTTTCAGAGAGATGTATAAACTGGAAGCAAGACAATAAAAGTATGTCAAGTCCACTTGGTATGGTTTTACGCACATGTTCTTGAAATTTAGAGAATGTGAAGTTAAACACGTTTGGCTTGTATAAATTCTAATTTAGCATCATGAGAAATATGGTTCACAAACACCTGGTGTTACCCATCACTGATATAGACTGACAGAGTTATTCACTGAAGTCAGAATTCAAAGGGAATTTCAAATTTAAGGTCAAAATAGTCGAGCTAAGTTAGCTGTGCTTTTTGTTTGGCTACTCGGGCCTTGAGTTTGAAATTCACTTTGAATTCTTTCTTTAGTAAATAAGCCTGTGAGTGTTCATGGTTGAAGTCTAATTTTGATCTTGATTCTTTATTTGATCCTGTATTGGTGTTAAGTAATGCAAACGTTGACTTTCAGGAAGAAGATTGTCCTCAGTTCTTTGATCCGGAACCTTCGATTATTCCGATGGAACATAAAACCACCATAAAATTTAAAGGGAAGAATCTGGAACATTTCCAGGTAAAACACCTTCGCTTTGGAATTAAGTTGTGGCTCTCTGAAAATCCCCAAATCAGAAACACACTAGTTGACATTTAAAGGGCCATATAAAATCTTGTGTTTTTTTTTTTTTCTATTTCTTTTAAGAATTTTTTTTAACCGATTCATTAAAAGTAAACAACCAAAATATATATATATATATATATATTTTTTTTTTTTTTAAATAAAAACTCTAACTTTAAGTTCCTGCATTTTCTGCAAATTATCAGGTCATGCATATTCTGCAGTGAGCTCTTACTAAACCAGGAAATGTATGTAGTTAGGGTTATAAAAAAAAACAAAAACATTTGTATGTTTTTTTTGTTTTTTTTTTAAAGAACTGTACAAAACAAAAAAAGTAATTGTTTAATTATAACTGAACCCACGCATTGCAATAAATGTGTGGTTTCTTGGCGTGTCACTTTAATAGTGTTTGTTAGATATGTTCGTGTTTATTGGGCTGTATATATGTAACTAAGAGTTTTGTGATAATGCAGGGAGAGGCCTTCAATGCTGGCTACAATCGCACCGATTTCGAAACAGCTGTGAGCGAGGATTCTGGAGATTTTTCACTCGCCATACCTGAGGTATTTGATCCTGATATCAATATTTTTTCTCCTAGATATTAAGACGATGCGCATTTCACTTGATCAGAGAAGAAAACATATTCTCTTCTTTACATATTTGTGCTCGCAGTATAAAACACAGTTTCTGTCTGTTTATATATCCGTTATTTATTGAGGTTATATCAAACATCACGGGATAGGATACACCCAATACTGTGATACCCTCTGCTACATTGATGCTGATGTGCAGTCCAATGTAATGAGAGGGATTAGTACAATAATGTTGCTATTTATCAACTCTGTAAGTGTACTAGTATACCAATGGCAGATCTATGTTTCTGTGCTGAGATTAGTGGGGGTTGCACTCCTGAGCAGTAGCTTCCACCATTTTAATGACGGCAGCTGAAATAGCTGCTACCTGGGATTGTAACTCCCACTAATCTCAGGCAGAACTGGAAATCTTTGCTGCCCTTAACCCCTACCCTATCCGATTCCCCCAACCAATACACTACGCATTGTCTTATCACACGACACTACACACTGTTGTTTACTCTATATATGTCTGTATATTTGTAGAGAAAAATGTAGACTGTTTTGTTTTTTTTATTGTGTGCAATATTCCCTGCATTAAGGAAATTGAGGCTGGGGCAGCATGGGAAATCGACCCAACCTTTATCAGCAGAGTCTGGATTTCTAGGGAACCTAGAACATTTAAGACTGTCATTGATTGTGTGACACATGTTCTGTTTTGTTCTGTCATTAATATGTAGTCACCCCTACAATGGAATCTCCCTAGATCACTAATCCCAGTGCGTCTAGCTATTATTGTGTGTTGAGTCAGGCAGAGGGAGTGGCTGTGCAGATTTCATGTCTGTCTTTGTTCCCCTCTCCTGCACTGTTAGTGCGGGTTATTTTATGAACCTCTGTCCTATTTCCCAGCATTGCACATGTAATTGCTCTTAGCAGATGTGGATATGTCCTTTGCTCTGAGTGGATCACCAGTCCGTTTACAGTTGACTGCTGGTGCGTGTCTTTTGTGCCTAAAAGTTCTCGGCTTGAATAGTCTCCAATTTCTTCCAGTTCTTTCTGTTTTCATGCCCGTTATATGGCACATCGGGTGTCCTGTTAAAATGGGTTGCAGAATAATTATGTTTGCCTCCCTGCCTCTTTTTAATTCTAGCATTCAGAGTATTTTATGAGTTTTGTTCATTATTCTTTTTGTGTTGTCCCTCTCCTTCCCCCCCTAGATTGCAGCACAAAATAAAGACAATGTCCCTCTGAATATTTACATAAAGGTGAAGGACAGGAACATTGACAGCAAGCTGAATGGTAGGTGTATGCACAATAAATCTAACTGTATTTCTTTTTTCTTTGATATATCGAAGTGCATTTTAAAAAATAAAAATTAAATCTGATCCGAAAAAAATCAGTATATAAAGTGTATATCCGATAAGTAATGGTTTTAATCGTTATACGGTGGCAGGAAATTTTCTAGTAGATTTAAGACAAGGGAGGCCAGAGAGGTAGACCCTCAGCTGTTGCAGATGTCCCACCCATACGATGCTTGGCATTAAGCTGTCCATCACAGAACTCGCAGTTCTGCAAGAGCTGGTGGTCTGTCTTTTGTAAACTCCTGAATGAAAAGATATAGAATGAGTTAGTCATATCCCATTTATATTTTAACATCGATAACATGTCATTGCTCACAGTGAGGTTTAACGATAATTTCTCATTATTTACGCACATTATACAGAGGTAAAATTGTATCCTCTGTAAAAAGTCATTGTATTAATGTTGTTTGTGGGATATGTTCTCCTTAAAACATATATTATTGGTGATTATACGAACTGTTAAAGTTGAAGATATTTTGTCCAGTTTAACGTAATAAAAGCTGTATTTTAATTTCATACTTTTTTCTAACTCTGTAATGTTATGATTTAGTAATTAACAAGTAGCAGATTTCTTTATTTCTAAGCACAGTTGATTTGTAACTTTTTCACGTAGCGGTTTCTTTGCTGCATGAAATTCACATCCTCTAGCTTATAACCGTACCACACTGTGATGTTCCCTAGTGATATCGACCGTTCGGCAGAGTGTGTGCTGAAAATGTGAGATATTACCAGGGATGCTGGGAGAGAACATCAATAGACAGAAAACGTCAATACTAGCTCCCATTTCCACGCTCACGAACAGTCTTTATGGAATTTATGGAGAATAGAACTGTTTTATTATTTAAAGAACTTCATATAGTCAGACCTGCTTATATATTAACATGATCTGTAAATAACATACATCTACAGCGTTTAAAGAGAACCCCACTGTGTAACATGTTGATGATACTATGTATCTTTTCGGCTCTCTCCTTTGTTCTTAGTAAATCTATACAACTGCTTTTACGGAAGAAGTGACTGCAGTTTGTGTCTCGCTGCCAACGATACGTACGAGTGTGTGTGGTGCAACAATAAATGTGTTTACAAGGAAAAGTGTACGGGAACGCCAACCTCAGAGTGTCCTGCTCCTGTCATCACAGATGTAAGAATGGGTTAAAACTATTTGATTTGTGAGAATAAGTCACTTTAAAGAAATGAATAGCACATATAACGGCTGCAGTTAATATTGTGAATTGTGCATAATCTCAAAATACAACACCAATTTTACAAACGTTCATACCTCAATGTTCTGTACTCTCTCCGGCAGACTCTTTTAAAATACTTACTTATTGTGGCACAAACTATATATTCTAATTTTAAAGAGAGAGTTCACGCGCAGCCCAGAGCAGTCTGTCTGTTGGAAGTGCTCTCAGCAACCTGATACGTAGAGGGACACTATAGTCACCAAAACAACTTTAGCTTAATAAAGCCGTTTTGGTGTATAAATCATGCCTCTGCAGTCTCACTGCTAATTTCTCTGCCATTTAGGAGTTAAATCACTTGTTTATGCAGCCCTAGTCACACCTCCCTGCATGTGACTTACACAGCCTTCCTAAACACTTCCTGTAAAGAGTCATCTAATGTTTAAACTTCCTTTATTGTAAATTCTGTTTAATTAAGAAGTTCTAATATCCTGCTCTGGTAATAGCTTGCTAGACCCTACAGGAGCCCCCTGTGTGTGATTACATTTCAATTTACAGAACAGGAAAACTATTAACTTTTAACATAAGTTACTGATTGAAAATTAAACCATTTAGTTTTTTTATGCAGACTGTTTGAGTCACAGACAGAAAAGGTGTGGCTAGGACTGCCTAAACAGAATCAAAAGTGATTTAAATCCTAAATTGCAGAGAATTGAGCAGTGAGACTTCAGGGGTGTGATCTATACACCAAAACTGCTTCATGAAACTAAAGTTGTTTAGGTGACTTTAGTGCCCCTTTAAATTTCATATTTGAAAATAAAGAAATATGGCTATTGCACATCTACATTTTTGCATGTTTCACTCTGTTACATAATATCGTTAATTCATTCGACTTTAAGACTTTAAGAATGTTTGCTTAACTGTATTTTCAAACTGCGTTATAATAGCAGAGATTGGAAAGAAGGAATATTGAACGATGCTTATTTGACTGGGTTTCATTTCCTCAAGGCAGTTTTTTGTTTTTAGTTTAATTTTTGCCTAGTTTGGAACAAATCAATGCTTACTGCAAACTCAGAGGACACACAGTCTCTTCTCCGACCGTGCTCGGGCTACGATATATAAAATATTCTTCACCTCTTAGTGGTTTCTGCTGTGACACGTATTTATCTCTTGACAGGATTTTGCACTTTAGCCTGCTCGGTCATTTTTAAACTATGTGCGGTATTTTTTATGGTAAATTCTTGTAAGTGTTTTGGCTCAGATAAGCTGTCAATGAGGATAAAAGAGATTTAATAAAAATCAAAGGCTAGCTGTAGTCTGTCCACGGATCGCAATGTGATCTTGGTATTAGCCGTATCGATATCTAGGAAGAGCAGGGGCTTATCCAAATCTCAGTGGTGGCTGGAGACATGGATTCTTCTTTATTTTGCACATTTTTTTTAAAAACCTTTTAGCAGGAGTTTTTGTGCAGCGTACTGTAGGAAGTGAGGTTTATTCAATAAACAGTGTATTGCCAAATTGATGCAAAAAATTTAAAAACATTTAAAACTTGCCTATTTTAACTTAAATTTTAAAATTTGTATTTCAGATCATTATAATTCTCTATTTAGTGAATCAAACCAATATTGCATTAAAAAAAAAAAAATGTACTATAAAGGCCTGGGCATTCTACTAGAGCAATTCATTTTTTGTTTCCCATCCAGCTTTTTGACATGTCATGATTCAGAGGTTCTTATTTTAGTATTTTTTTTTTTTTTAGAATTTTTTGTAGTTTGTATATATTGTGTTACTCATATTTTTTTTATTAAATGTTATTAATATTTATAATGTTATCTGGGTAAATAAAGTTTCTGTTTTGTGGTTTCTATAAAGTATTTATGGGGCTCTCACTAAATGTAATCTTATGGCAATGGTCGCTACTTAATACCCCACAGATGTTGCTGGCTAGGCTTCATGAGATGTGTCGCTAAGAAACATATGTGGTGCGCAGGTCAACCATCAATATTTTAAAGCAACAAGCATGTTTTTAAGCGCCCCTCTTGAAGTTTCTGTACCAATAAAATTCTCCGCAACCTGTTTATTTTGATGTAATGTAGCCTCATAAATCAAAAGACTTGATTCATGTTACAGAAGTATGTTTTCAGGGGTAGGGTGTGAGTTCGATACACAAGGATAAAGGGCAGGAAATGCCTGAAAACATGTAGTGACAAAAATAGAATAACAAAATAAAACAGACCAAACATAACATGCTAACAAAGCATTACAAAGAAAATATCAGAACACTAATATTAGGGAAACACAGCACTCAAAGAAAATATAACCACTAAAACATTCAGATACTCTGTGTATCCGAAATCCGGAATGTTTTACTTTAAGGGATTGCTCAGCAGCAATTATTTACTACACAACTTTCATTTTACGTGACGTAGAGTAACACTGCTTTGAGTGATCTAATGCCTGTCTAGTTTCTAATAATCAAAGTTGTGAAATATTTGCCAGAAATGAGAAGTAATCGGTGTCAGATTGTTCCTGCTTGATTTTGTGACCGTATACCAGTATTAATAGAATCCCAGTATTGTGTTGGTCTTATTGCCATTCTTCTCTAAGTGATCTTAGTAAGTATATCTATTACATAGTCAGAGAGTTCACTAGAGTACATGGTGGCACCTTGTACCAAAAGGGCTGGTTAGGACGTTGTATGGCTAGAATGAACAGGGGCTATGTGAGACGGTGGCTGGCTACAAAGGACAATGGGCTTCTTAGGATCATGTATGGCTACAAAAGGCAAGGGCTGTGCAGTGACATTTAGTAATTTTTTTTTTTTAAATTAATGCTGTTTTTTTCACCCTTTTTTCCCTCTTCAGTTTGAGCCTAAAACGGCTCCGCTACTTGGTGGGATTCGTCTTACTATAAAGGGATCAAATTTGGGGGTGATCGATACAGATGTGGAAGAAATAAAAGTTGTAAACACTCCGTGTGAATTTGTGAAAGAAGAATATTCCGTTTCCACCAGGTAAGCGTGGCCTTTAATTTCTGTTATTCTTTTATTTGTTTTTTCCATAATTATTAGCATAGTATTATTAGTATAGTTAACGTGTTTAAGTTCACTCTGAAGTACATTTCGGCAAAAGTACAAAATGAATTGCAGGGTGCAAAGTGCCTCAGATGTTACTGTCTGAATCCGTTTATGTAACATTCATTGTTCCTGTCAGGAATAATTTAATGGGATTCCGAGTCAGACACCACACCGTCCTAGCACCTTTAAGAGTGTAAGATTTTAGTCTGTCACTGGTCCTTCCTTGTTAGCTGTTAATGAGATCGTCTAACATGTTCTGTAGAAGGCACGTTGTATTTTAATGCGAGAAAGCACAGAGAACACTGCATTCTATTTAGAGAAAGAAAATCATTCACTTGGTTACAATTTTAATTTTACATGTGGGTAAGAGAGGCATCATATATGAATAGAACCTTCGGGGAGGGTGGTTTATGATACCCTATAACAGTGATCCATCTCTCACGCAATCTATAGCAGAATATTTCATGGACTTTGAGGAAACTTCCATAGAGAATCATTTAAATAATTAGAAAAAAATTTCTACACTTGCTCAATAAACAGGAAATGTTGAGACACACTGTTTGCCAGAGTGTGTGAATCTGGGCAATTGGCAGACTGGCATGTGGGTTTGCTATTTCACTCGGCCATTCTCCTAACAAAGCTCTGTATGTGTTAGAACTAGGATTTCCAGGTCAACTATAAATAAATCTATATACATTTGTCGTTAAATGATAATTGCTGTCAGGAAGTATGTGGACTTCCCTACAGAACTCTCTGTATTGCCACCTTGCCTGTGAATTGTACAACATGCAAGGGAGCACTTTTCATATGCTGCCCAACAGCAAAAAAAGGTTTTATTATATCCAGAAAAACATGGTGGATGTGGGAACACTGGCCCCCCTTTTTTTTCTCAATTGCAAATGGTCCTTTTTTATTTTACAAAGCTTTTGAGACTAATTGTTATTTTTTTATGGAGTAATATTATTTTTTCTCCTTTAGGGTTGTGTGCACAGTTGGTGAATACTTTGACGGTAGCACCTCAGGAAATATAGAAATAAAGGTTAAAGAGAAACAGGGAAGTTCCCCGGATGGTCTTTTGTTTGTCTATCAGGTGAGTATTTCTTTGTCTGTGAAACATTTAAGCTGTTCATTGAAGCCATATTTCTCCACACCATAGTCTTAATCCCACAGCACCGTAGCCATATTCCCTAACCGTGCATAATAACCATAGTCCTAGCATATTTCTCAGTCCTATAAAAAAAACTATAGTGTTACATATATATTACACAGTGTTACATGTATATTACACAGCCCAATTGCTCTATCCCACCATACCCATATTCTCCCTCCCGCAATGGGGGTTTAGTGCAATGCTGCCTTGTGGAATTTGGAGGTTTATATGAATATTCCGTTTACCTGAATCTGTTATACCATGATATCCCCTCTCACACGTATAGCACCACAACAGAGTGCAGACAGGTATGTGTGCACAGACCGACTGATTTAGAGATTCCGCTAGTAAGACATTGTATCGAACGTTTAAACCTTCCCTAACACTACATTTCCAACTTGGTAATTGTGAAGTTAGATGTACAATTTCCTGGTCAATTCTCCACATTTCCTTGTTTAATGAACAAACCATCATGATAAACAAAATATATATATATATATATGAATGTTGGCACTCAAACTGTGATTTGGTACAGGTATCGAGGTTCCCCACCTATAATAAACCTCAAAATATAAATACAAAAATATAGAAAATGATACCGCACTTCAAAAGTCGATGCTCAAAAAAGGGATTTTTTTTTTCTTTATATTATACACAAAGGCAATCCAATATCAAAGAAAGCTGAATACACTATAGTACATAACTTCACACCAAAAGGAGCAAACAATATCTTTGTCCTGACCCAGTCTCAAATTAATACTGAAATCTGTGCTTCAGCCACGTGACCTGTAAAGTCCTTTAGAAAATGAAGAGTTCCTTCCATAATTGTTGCGCAGTGTCCTCGGTTACTATTTAAAAAAAATACAAAATGAAAAAAATATAAAATAGAGAATCCTAGAATTTCAAAACAAAAAAATATATATATATTTCTATGTTCACCTTTTTGAGATACTCGACAGCTTATACGACAATCACCGCAACCACTCTGATACAGATCAATTATTCTCATTACTTTCACACGTGATTATGAGGTTGAAGCAGACATTCTTTTCAATAAACGTATCATCCTTTAATTCATGAAATAAGGGGGGGAATCTGCTCCTCCCCCAACATCTGTTGCTTTTGAATAATTATTTATAAAGAGTCATCAAGGTTGCGTAGTTCGTTAGTAGCCTGGCCTCCATTCATACACACATTATATTTTGGATACAATGGAAGAGAAGTAATAAAAGAGTCACAAAACAAAAAGTCTAAAAATGGCTTAATCAACACAGAAATGTTGTAATTGGCAGGAATATTCCACAAAAAATACACGTTTGGAACTTTGATCCAATGTCATCAAATATTTTAAAATGCAGTCATGCCTTTAATTCCCAAACCTTTTACTGCGTTACTTTCTTAAATGCAGAATTAATCCGTTCAGATTGTAAAGGAGACTTCAATCCAGAAAATGAATCGGGAATTGTAATGCTCCAGTTAAATTATCATTTTTTATTTATTTTTTGTCATTTGACAAGTTTGAGGAAAGAGATACCTTAAAGATCCTACAGGAAAATCAGTTGCAATTTATCTGATATCAGAGATTTGTTCCCCAGCTAGTGTCATGACTTGAGGCAATGCAAATGAGTATTGAGTATGTGAGCTGCAGGCTGATGCTGACACTACTGTAGCCTCTTCTTCCCATCTGAGCTCTGTGCATCCTTTGTGTCAAAGGCAACTGTCAGCCTCAGATGGTTGGGACCAGCTAGCTCTGTACTTTCTTGGCTCCCTTCCTAGTGTGTACAGGAAGTGTGGAATTTCTGATGGTCTTTGGCACGGTAGCTACAGATCAAAGGTGACATCTGCCCTTTTGGGAAATGTTCAAACTTCTGCTTGGATTTTTTTTTTTTTTTGTTGCTTAGGATTACTTAATGGGCTTTTTTTTTTTTTCCTTAGATTTTGTTTTTATTTCTCTGAAAGTTCTGTGTAGAATGTAATGTTTGTTACGGGTTTCTTTAATGCCTTAATATTCTATCTTGGTTTTCAAGTCACACTTTGGTTAGCAGAACATATTTCATACATGTATGTATATTTATATTCCACCACTGAATAATTTACAGCTTTATCAAATATTTAAATATAAATGATTTAATCCCTTCTGGATTGGGCAGATCTGTATGATGACATTGTTAATTATGAAGCGCCAACAGATTCCGTAATGTTGTGCAGTGGGTGGCCGTGACATAAAACATTTTTTTTTTTTTTTTTAAAAGATGAGTGTGACAGGACCTGTCAAGCCATTAGTCAGTAAGGGGTTAAAATTGAATAAATTAATTATCTCCTTTTTCGATTTGAGCAATGCAGAGCAATTCTATGCAGTATTTAAGGGATAATCTGTATCCGAATCTTAATTATAATGTTATCCAGGTTTGCACTTTTCCATCTTCGTACAATATTTCCATTGTATCGCTCTAACACAAGAATTGTGGCTGACCGTCATAGCACAAGTTAGTCTAAAGTTTTATGACCGGCGGGTAATATATTAATCTAGTAAAGTCACATGCAGGAAATATAACGTTTCTAAAGCCAGGAAACCTTTTTTTTTTTTTTTTTTGGTCGTACGGTTGTTGTTAGAGACTCTGTAGTTTTGGGGTCAGCCAAATGTAAATTAAAACAGTAGCTAATTGTGTGATGACAAGAGTTCAGCTGCTAGGATTTTTTTTGTTTTTTTCCCCTATAAAATGTAGCACTGAACTAGTAGATACCGTGTCAATGAAAGTCTTCACTGAGTTTAGCTTATAATGAATAACGATATGGGAAGACCAGTGTTGAAAAAATGTTGAAAAAATCACTTTTGTTTTGCTTGTATAAAGATGGAAATTTGTGTCGACTAATTACATAGCTGTAAAGTTTATTCATGTACAGTGAGTCTCATATTTGCTCCACTTGGCACCGCAATCTAGATCAGTCCTGGCACAGCCAAAGTACACATTGCATTGGAGAATTTCTACATTTAATATTAATTATTATTAATTCCTCGCAAACATAGATTTGTTAAATAGACGTAAGGCGTAAATGTAATATTTAATATCTTATGTAGTGACAGTTCCCGTTTTAAAAAACGTTACCATTTCTATAATTTCACTAGCAGTAGTACATTATAAATTCACTGCAGTAAAATTGTAATTGTATTATGTGGGGTTTGCAATCCCACATGCGGTTACATAGTTACATAGGCTGTAAAAAGACATGCGTGCTTCCTTTAAGTTCAGCCTTTCTCACATCTGTTTTTACCGTTGATCCAAAAGAAGACAAAAAAAAACATTTCAAGCGCTTGCAATTTTGCAACAATCCCAGAATGGCAGTCAGATCTCTCCTTGAATCATGAAGCTATTGCCCCACTAATTAAAAATGATATCCCAGAATATTCTGTTTTTGCAAGTATTCAGCCAGTTGCTGTTTGAACATCTGTAGAGACTCTGATAAAACCACCTCTTCAGGCAGAGAATTCCACATCCTATGGTTATCTTATTGCATGTGCTGATTTGCTCCATGCTGTCTGCATCTAAAACATAATGGTCTTTCTTTCTCTTTTAGGATCCAGATCCAAATACAGTAACCCCAGCAGAAGGTATTTTAGCTGGAGGGACTAACATAACGATTACTGGGGAACATTTAAAGACTGGATCAATGAGTGATATCAAAGTAATGGTTGGAGATATACCCTGTACTGTGTAAGTATGTTTGTTTAGTTTGGGGCCTGTAAGAAGCCTTGTCCGTTTCTCACAATATATTTCATATTATAGAACGTGTTGCATTGTCTTCATATAGTATTTTAATTGGCCCTGATACAGTAAACTGATAATTGATGTAGGCCTGCCCGAAGTAAGAAATTGCCACTTCTAGAAAACTTGTTTCTCAGTTTATAATGAGTTTATAGAGGCTAACATTATTTCATTGCTTCTGTGAATAAAACGAAGGCTTCCTTTAGACTATATGTTACGGACGCAATGCATGTGTTTTTATAAATATATATACGCAATGTATGATGGCTTTCCAGAGGTAAGTTATTGGTTTCAGCTACGGTCATTGTTTGCTGTGTTTTAAAGGACAATATCTTCAAATGTAACTCACGGAATGCAGAGTTAAGTTAAGGAGGCTTATTTACTATCTGTGAATTGTAGACAAGTAAAAGCCATATTGCTAAATTATGTCCTAAATAGTGAAGTAGTGACTGTGTGAGTCAGATATATTATTAAAGGGATATCCAAGGCTCCCACACACGTTGGGTGCACTGTGTAGGTTAGGTTACAGTTAGTTATACTGGGTGGGTTTATATTATTAAAGGGACACTCCTGACTCCCACACACGTTAGGCGCACTATGTAGGTTAGGTTACAGTTAGTTATACTGGGTGGGTGTATATTATTAAAGGGACACGCCAGGCTCCCACACACATTAGGTGCACTGTGTAGGTTAGGTTACAGTTAGTTATACTGGGTGGGTTTATATTATTAAAGGGACACTCCAGGCTCCCACACACGTTAGGTGCACTGTGTAGGTTAGGTTACAGTTAGGTATACTGGGTGAGTTTATATTATTAAAGCTACACTCCAGGCTCCCACACACATTAGGTGCACTGTGTAGGTTAGGTTACAGTTAGTTATACTGGGTGGGTTTATATTATTAAAGGGACACTCCAGGCTCCCACACACGTTAGGTGCACTGTGTAGGTTAGGTTACAGTTAGTTATACTGGGTGGGTTTATATTATTAAAGGGACACTCCAGGCTACCACACACGTTAGGTGCACTGTGTAGGTTAGGTTACAGTTAGTTATACTCGGTGGGTTTATATTATTAAAGGGACACTCCAAGCTCCCACACATGTTAGGTCCACTGTGTAGGCTACAGTTAGTTTTACTGGGTGGGTTTATATTATTAAAGGGACAACACAGTCAAAAAAGAGCTTTTCACAAAGTTGACATCAAGCCATGTTATTGAATAAGTAGCCCTCCTACAGCACACACGTTCTAGATTCCCCAGTGTAGCACTTTTCATGTCCTGCCCAATAGTATGAATATGTAATAAATTTCCTGCAAAATGCGGGTATCTAGCAGCCTCATCTGGCGTGTCTCAGCTGAGACTGACCTGTAAAGACTCCAAAAGAAATATTACTTTTAAAAGGTTTTCTCTAAATATTTAGCAGCTGTGTTTTGTTAGAAGGATTACAAAGGAAAAGCTTTCTTTTTACTGGGCGCTTGTAATGCTTTTTTTACTGTATGAACGGTAAGGGCCACTAACTCCTAGGAATGCCAGATTAATGAAAGGGTTACTCTGCTGGCCTCCAAACCTTTGACTTCAAGCTGTGCTGGATAAGGAGCCAAATTGTTCCAGCTGTCCCCGCTGTAGTTTGATTCTCTGCTAAGAGACTTGCCAATTTGGCTGCAGAGATGCTCGGTGATTAGCAACAAATGCTCCATGATTTTCAGTTGCCTTTTAAATAAGTAGCCGTCCTTGCCAGTATCACTGAGCGTAACGTTCACCTCTGCACATTGAATAAGATAATCTATACTGAGCTTTCACGGCAGTTTTGCTGGCTGCTACAAGTCTTTTTATGTATTGTTTTTTTTTTCGTTTTTTTTTTCGTTTTTTTGTAGCACCTGTAACTTTTTTTGTGAAGGTTTTTTTTAATTAAAATTATTAAAGGTTTAGAAAATGTCACCAGAATCCAGTTCAGACCAGGCAAACCCAGGGCACACGTTGAAAATGAGGAGGAGAAATAGAAACGTTGTTTCATTTCTTCTCTGCTCTGTATGCTCGCTCTCTATACTGATTGCCAGGTGCGAAGGACAGTCCTCATAACAATGACTGAAAGGGAGCGAAGATTGAGGCAGCCAGACTCAGGGTAAAGAGATGTGGATTTAAACATTTAATTTTTCATTCCTAACAAATACACAATTGTTTAAAACACACACACAAAACAAAAAAAATTGAGATTATCATAGAGTTAATCATTATAGAAAACTGTCCCTCGAAATATGCATTGAAAATACTTACCATTTTCTGTTCCTTTTTTAAATTTTTCATCTTCAGTGGCCAGGCTCCACCCCTTCCTTCTGACATCATATCAGGAAGCAACACTTCCCTGTTGAGCTATACAAGTACTTGTACACAGCCTAGTTTCCTGCCTGCTTCAGAATATGGCTACGTCAAGTGACGAGACTTACTTGTGAGCTGGACATGTCTGCTCAGAGTGTATAAGTACTAGGACATCTTAAAGTAGAAGTCCAGTCTTCTCCATATGATGTCATTGGAAGAGGGTGTAGTCCAGGTGCCAATAAAAAAAAAATGCCGGATTTAGAATATATGTTTCCCAACAGCATAACCACTACATAAGCCTAATGTGCTTTGTGTATCTCATAAAATTTTTTTTAAAAAGTATCAGGTTCCTATTCATTGTAACTTTTAAAAAACATATTTTTAAACTGTTATGGTGTGTCAAATACCATGATTTATTAGGAGGAAGAAATTAAAGCATCTATTTTAGAGAATAAACCATTTTAATGTTACCAAGGTATGATACTAAAACAACTGACCTCATTTAGTTGTGTTGTGTTTATCCTATGTTCTTTATTTGCTACTAATGTACATGTAATTAGCCCAATTAACTACAAAGATATTTTAGCTAGCATATGGTTGGCAGAGAACCTGGCCTACTTGTGTCCGTCGAGGGCTGGAGGTCTTAGGAATGCACATATGTATTGCCTGGTGCTGAATGGCTGCTCGCGGTTTGTGTCTGAAAGTATTAATTTTGCCGTTTGCCAAGAGTTAAGATTCCACTGTGTCAGCATTGTTCAGCATATTTTTTTATTTCTCTCTCTTTTCTAAAGCATTGAATTTGGTGAAAGCATAGTGTGCTCTACAGGACAAGCCACAAAGGACGGAGAAGTGATTGTCACATTGCAGTACGGGACCCAGACTAAAAAAGAGGCCGGAAAATTCTTCTATAAACCCAATCCGGTTATTATGCATTTCAGTCCAGACAAAAGCTTTGTAAGGTATATATTATTTATTTTTTCCTTTATCATTGTAGCAAATAATGGTAGTAAATGTTATTTCTGCATGATAAATAGTTCTTGTAAATGTATATTGTGCCCGTTCTGTACACCTCCAATCCATGGAATGATTTAATGGGTTGGCACTAAGGACTGAAGGGTAGTTGGACTGTGTCGGAGTGGTCCATGTACTTCTGCACTGCCTGTAACTCTCAGAGGTATGGTGATGTTTATTACTCTGTTTTTTTGTATTTGCTGTAAATTGAGTCTATGGAGCCGATTGACAGATTGAATTGCTAACTGGTACCCCATCTGATTCCTTGGCAATGGAATTCAGATGGTTGTCCAGAAAGTCTGAGGGTTCCATTTCGAAGAATGCCTTTCAGTTTTTAGTAGATACCGGATGGCTTACCTGGTTGCTATAGATTAAATACATTCATTGCTAAGGTGAATATTTTTGGTTCCCCTCGATCTTTTGGGTTCATAAATGACACTACAGCTCTTTGTGAGCATCTGCCGCAATAAGTGGCCAGTATGAGAAAGACTTCTATACATAATGATCGGTCAATTTGCTAAGTGTAGAATTAATGTAGGGCTAGATTGGTGGGGGCAAACAAAGGTAGCTTTGGGATTTGAATACAAAAAAAAAGTTCAGAAGGAAAATGTTCTGCTCCACTTAGGTGATGAGCTATGTCACAATGAGAGGATGAAATGAAGATCTGCTTTAACGTTGCAATGGAAGTAGTGTAATGTATTGCATGTTTGTCACATGGCCTGGCAGTGAATTCTGGATATTGTAGTCTAACAACAGAAACAGGGTCTCCAATAATGTTCAATCAATCGTAAGGCTATATTAAAGTATTAAAGGCACAAAATCTTGCATGTCTTACAAAATAATTCAAAGATCAGCTAGTGGAAGTGGGACAAAGACTGGGTGTGCGCAGGTATCAGGCAGTGTATTGCCAATAGTCATTCAAGCCCGTTTCAACAAAGTGTGGACCATGAATCCTACTCTCTATCAGATTTGGAATTCTGTCAGCTGGTGCTGGTAGCCACGAAATTTGGACTCATGAGTGACGAGCTCAGAGCACTCTGTTTGTTTGTTGGAACAGTTGACTCAAATAAGAGTTTCGATGTTGGCAGCTCAGAGTTCTCAATTATTGGGGCTTTACCAAAATGAGAAAACAATGTGAAATATGCATTGGAGTAAGAAAATAAAATACCACGAGAAAGTTAAAAAGTTTGTGTCTTCTTTTCTTTTCTTTTTTCAGCGGAGGAAGAAACATTACAGTTTCGGGGACAGGATTTAACCTTGTTCAGAGTTTAAGCATGGTTGCCACGTTTCCTAATGGAAGGGAGGAAAGACACACAAGTGAACAGGATCCCAGATATGTAAGCCAGTTTTACCCTTCGTGCTCTTAGCTAGCCTTGCGTGTCCTTGTTTTCCTCTGGTTAAACATCCACACAGCCGACCTTTGTACTGGTTAAAACCTTAAAAGGACCAGATGGTTGGTCCTCTAAGGGTAAAATCTCTTCAGTAAATCTGATTAAGCCATGACAACTGTTCACAAAAAGACAAACACAGCTTCAAAAAAAATTAAATAAAAACAAGAAAAAAAAATCCCTCTGCACTATTTAAAATCTTAGGTGGTGGTTTAATAAAATTTACTTCTGATTTTTTTCACACTGATTCAATTCGCAAGTGAATGTAGCAATATACATGTACAAGCACGTTCAATAATTTACATCCAAACAGATGGTTTCGTTGTATCTTGTGCTAGTATGATATACAGTAAACAGATACTGCCGGTTTATATGGTGACTAATCTGTACCTTGTCGTAACATCCTGAATCCACCTAGCTTTTCAGGGAAAATTCACATTTGTAACTTTAGGAGATATCTGGAAGTTCTTTCCGAAATGGTGATTCATTATGTTTAAAGTAATCAGGACTTCTTAAAACTACACTTAAAAAACACATTCAAATTAAAACCCTAATAACAAAAGTGTAAAAATTAAAAAGGAAAAAAATAAATCCCAGAAAGGCCAATATCACCATGACAGCATATGGTCTGAATATGGAGAGGAAGGCCGATAATGCTAATGAAAAAGGATAAATCTTTGTTATACACTATTATGAAGAAATAAGTGATTAAAATAAAACTGTAAACAAATGTGTAGCGTAGCCACTGAAACCACTGAAAGATTGTATAAAATATACAAATATTACAAAGCAACTCTATACAAAGGTATCTCGATGTTCGTTTCTGAAAGTACCCTCAATAGATGAAGGGGTAACACGGCGAGGTAATGCCAAGAGGAGAAAATTATCCTTGGAAAAAATAAAGAGAGAAATTTATTATTTAACAAATGTATTATTATTATTGAACTAAGATTGCATTCCTATTTTTGTAGAGAAAGGGTGAAATGTGTCAATATGGCTACTACACAATATTACACTATATTACACAATATTACTCTTACACTATAATACTCTATATTACACAATATTACTCTGTTACACTATATAACTCTATATTACACAATATTACACTATATTGAACGATATTGCACAATATTACACTATATTACTCTTACACTATATAACTCTATATTACACAATATTACTCTATATTACACAAAATTACACTATATTGAACGATATTGCACAATATTACACTATAGCAATTCAAAATTTTCAATGTTATTGTTTAATGATGTACAGAAGATACAGGGCTGTTATGGCTCATTTTTTACCGTCTGTGAGAGATGATCGTTATATATATGAGTGTAAAACATATACTTACATAGATCATCATTTATTATTATTATTGTATTTATTCAATTTTTTTTTTATTAATTTTTTTGTGCGTTTTTCTCTTTATATTAGCTCCTGGCATTGAGTGGGCTTTTTTAAGCTTATAGATGAGTGGTCACATTGTACAGTCAGTGGGAGATTGCTATATATGCGGTTACGTTGTACAGTCAGTGGGAGATAGCTATATATGTAGTTATGTTGTACAGTCAGTGGGAGATAGCGATATATGCGGTTACGTTGTATAGTCAGTGGGAGATAGCGATATATGTGGTTACGTTGTACAGTCAGTGGGAGATAGCGATATATGTAGTTACGTTGTACAGTCAGTGGGAGATAGCTATATATGTGGTTACGTTGTACAGTCAGTGGGAGATAGCTATATATGTAGTTACGTTGTACAGTCAGTGGGAGAAAGCTATATATGTAGTTACGTTGTACAGTCAGTGGGAGATAGCGATATATGCGGTTACGTTGTACAGTCAGTGGGAGATAGCGATATATGCGGTTACGTTGTACAGTCAGTGGGAGATAGCGATATATGTGGTTACGTTGTACAGTCAGTGGGAGATAGCGATATATGTAGTTACGTTGTACAGTCAGTGGGAGATAGCTATATATGTGGTTACGTTGTACAGTCAGTGGGAGATAGCTATATATGTAGTTACGTTGTACGTTGTACAGTCAGTGGGAGATAGCGATATATGCTATCAGTGGGAGATAGCGATATATGTTACGTTGTACAGTCAGTGGGAGATAGCTATATATGTGGTTACGTTGTACAGTCAGTGGGAGAAAGCTATATATGTAGTTACGTTGTACAGTCAGTGGGAGATAGCGATATATGTAGTTACGTTGTACAGTCAGTGGGAGATAGCGATATATGCGGTTACGTTGTACAGTCAGTGGGAGATAGCGATATATGCGGTTATGTTGTACAGTCGGTGGGAGATAGCGATATATGTGGTTACGTTGTACAGTCGGTGGGAGATAGCGATATATGCGGTTACGTTGTACAGTCAGTGGGAGATAGCGATATATGCGGTTATGTTGTACAGTCGGTGGGAGATAGCTATATATATATATAGTCATAGTGTACGGTCAGTGGGAGATAGCGAAATATGTGGTTACGTTGTACAGTCAGTGGGAGAAAGCGATATATGCGGTTACGTTGTACAGTCAGTGGGAGATAGCTATATATGCGGTTACGTTGTACAGTCAGTGGGAGAAAGCGATATATGTGGTTACGTTGTACAGTCAGTGGGAGAAAGCGATATATGTGGTTACGTTGTACAGTCAGTGGGAGATAGCTATATATGTAGTTATGTTGTACAGTCAGTGGGAGATAGCTATATATTGCCTTAAATTCAGATTAATGAATCCGTAACACAGTCTGTAGCGCAGTACAATGACAATCTCTAAACATAATTACTGCAGAAATTACTATTTTTCATTTCTTTTTTTCATTCATTCTTCACAGAGTGAAGATGTCCTCGAGAGAGTCAATGATTCCCTGCTAATATTCTCTACTCCCAAAGTACCAGAAAACATACAGAACTCTGAGGTTGTCACTGTGATTAAAATGGACGGGTACGAGACACCTCTGCAGACAAGGGGTCTTAATTTCGGTTATGTATCTGATCCTACGTTTGAGAATTTTACAGATGGAATTAAGAAACAAGTGAACAATCTAATTAATGCAAAAGTAAGTTTTTCTCTCCAAGGATCGCCATTAAAGAACAGGATTTATTTTTTCTAATAGGTGACGGATGTTTAAATATTATTTTGCTTACTATGTATGAAGTATAGATGTAGCATGCCCAGTAATTGAGAATAATTCATCTACTTAATACTCCAAAGCTTTTTGGTTTAGAATGATTAAAAGAAAATGTAATCTGCCCTATTCTCTAGCCTTTAGACATTTTTGTCTAAATCTTTGTTCAGAAATAAGATAAATCGCCTACAATCCTTCTTACTTCTGCATTGCACCAAAAATACAAACATTCTTTTAATCTAATGAAAACAAATGCTACAAAAAAAAACCTTAAATTATCATTTTGTTTATTGCGCGAAGTTAAACGCAGAACTTTATATAATTTACTTACAGTGCCCCTTTGTGTCCACATTATACATTGAATGTTGTTATATACTTTTCTGGTTTATAATGTACAATCAAAGAGATGATGGTTATTAGGTTATTAATATTTTGAGCATTTATTTTTGTAGTGTCGAAAATAAATATAATGCTTTTAGAATTTTCTTAGAAATTCAATATGTAAAAAGTTGATATGGAATAAGGCAGAAATCGCCCTGTTTGCAAAATTCAATTTTTTTAAAATAATTCTATTAGTCTATGTAATCTGTCCCTTATTATATTTAATTTATTCGTTAGAAGTGCAATTTTTGATTGCATCATTCAAACATTCTACGATTGTGTGGGTTTATTTTTTTAGGGTACTAACCTCAATGCCGCAATGTCCATGCAAGAGGCGAAGGCATTTGTGGGAGAGGGTCCTTGTAAGATAAGTACATTGACGAACACCGACCTTTACTGCGTTCCACCAGACGAACAACCACTGCCGAGAAGACGACACAAGAGAGACACCAGCAACAGTCTTCCTGAATTCATAGTATGTGCTCACGCTATACATCTGCTCTTATTCTATATGTTTAAATGTCAAGATGAAATGACTCCAAAGACACGCTGTACAAGTAAAACCTATTTCAAAATATAGCATTTTGGGTTTAACCATGTTTGCCTTCTATGACTGGATCACAGTGCGCTGTTCACCCATTTAGTAATTAAATGACCTACGTGACCTTTTATTTCTTTACACTTGTATAAAAGTGAAGCTTTATAGAAATGGAAAAAGTGGGAATAATCAAGGTTTTTTTTCCTGTTGGTTTTGCCACACCTCTGATCCCAGATTGCAAAACCAGCATTTGACAACAGAACGAGATCGGTAACAAACTTAAGGAAATATAATTAATAATGCTCTACTCCATTACATGGCCCACATATATTCAATGTGTTGCTATTCAATAGAAAATATTCTTGGAATCCTTAGTTACTTTGTTATCCGTAGCTTTAGATTATTTAAATGTTTTTTGTGTTTGTTTTTGTTTAGTTTTTTTGTAATGTTTATATCATTTTTATTTTTGTAATGTTTTGTTTTCCAGGTTAAGTTTGGAAACAGAGAGTGGATTTTAGGAAAGGTAGAATACGGCCAATCCGCAGCATTTCCTCTCAACATAATTATCCCCGTGGTTCTGATTCCCATGATTTTAATCATCGCCATTTCAATTTACTGCTACAGGTGAGGTGTTGTGCAGTCCCTGTTCTGGGCCCAGATTTCTGTGTCTGTCTTTACTGTTCTAATGTCCCTCTTTTCTAGGAGCTCCATATTGTTGGTGTGTCTGAGTGTATAACAGAGCTCATTCTTATTAGTTATTCAATATCGTAACTTTCTCTCTAGGCGGAAGAGTCAGCAGGCCGAGCGGGAGTATGAGAAAGTAAAACTTCAACTGGAGGGCTTGGAAGAGAGTGTGCGAGAGCGTTGTAAGAAAGAATTCACAGGTAATAAAGGACAGTTCTGTTAAATAAAATATATAGTGATTTCTGTAACTACGACCATGTGCTTTGTGCTCCAGAGCAGTTCACAATCTGCTGATGTTAATAGGGTGAATGTAGCCAAGTAATCATTGTTCCTTAGTTTACAATCCCACGTAGACAGTTTCTGCACGTTAGTGGGCTAATAGTCTGTAACAATAATGAATTGAGGGCATCCTATTTAATGTTCATTTATTCCAAGGAATCACAAACAAATCCATCTATGATTATTTAGTCACTTATATAAATGTTCTACTTGTTATGTGTCCATTAATTGTTTATGCATTTCCAAGTGAATTTACAAATAAAATCTTTAATAATATTTATATTGCTACATAACCGTATCAGAGATGACTGTGGCTATTGCATGGTGTAAATTACATTATCAGGATTTCCAACCATTTACATTTATGCAGGACAGCCCCTATTTTTGTGTTCTATCTGGGATAGCACCCTGGTGTGCCATTTTTGCAGACACCAGGGAACTGTGCCCAATGGCCGCAGAGTGAGTGCTGAAATAGTATGCTCACAGGATTCATGCCAGGCTGACTTGACAATCCTACAGGTGGCTCTGTCCCATTTTGGTGGTGCCAGTGACACAATCACATCACTGCCCTAAACTCCCCCCCACTGGTATCCTGCTTTCCTGATTCACAGGTCGCTGAAGTTGGGAGCTATGCTGCACTGTACACGTAAAAAATGAACAGGAAATTAAAACCTGTTTGTTACACCACCCTCTCCCTACTAGCAAATCTCCTTATAACAGGGGAGTTTGCTTAAAGAGAGATTGAAAGTGGAACACTAAGTTGGACCATTAGGGGAGATTTTACAAACTGGTTTCCATGGAGATTGACCCACTTTTAGTACTTTAGAATAGTTTTTGGGTCAAAACACTAGATAAATCACCCCGTTACATTAGAAAATTACTGGCATATTTTTACAACTTTAACCAATGGATGCTGTGTATACATAACAGACCCTTTGTGCAAAGGCTGAGCAGGTATCCAAAGTCTCTATTTCGGTGTTTCCAGATCTTATGATTGAGATGGAAGATCACACCAGTGACCTCAATGAAGTTGGAATCCCAGTTCTGGATTACAAAACCTACACCGACCGCGTGTTCTTCTTGCCGTCGTCCAATTATGGGGAGAACGATGTAATGATCACTGGACGGCTGGATATTCCCGAATCGAGAAAGCAAACGGTGGAGCAGGCACTCAACCAGTTCTCAAATCTTCTCAACAGTAAATCTTTCCTCATCAGTGTAAGTGTTTCTTTTAGTTAGATGTAAAACAAAGTATTTACTAAAGTGTACGACTTCCCAACCCATGCTCGTTAACGAGATACGGTATGTCATGTTTCAGTATTAATATAAAAATAATATTTTAGGGTGGGCAGCTGGAAAAGCATCAACCAACCCTTTCTGGAGGCCACAGCTCAATCCATATTTCTCAGCCAACTCAAATTAGAGGGGAAAGCTTAATTTCTTTCTTATTTAATCTTTTCTTTAGTTCTTCATAGACAAAATGTTTTGTTAATATTCCACAGTTCTCAAAATGCTGTATATCATGCAGTGTTCATGGCTATGTCTGACTCTTGTCCTCTTTACCTTTTTCAGTTTATCCACACTCTGGAGGCCCAAAAGGACTTCTCTGCTCGTGAAAAACTCTACTTTGCGTCCTTGCTGACCGTCGCGTTGCACGGAAAGCTGGAGTACTATACAGATATCATGAGGACTTTGTTTCTAGAGCTCATGGAGCAGTATGTCGCCAAGAATCCTAAACTGATGCTTAGAAGGTACTAGATTATGCTTCTCTCTATCTCTAATGACTTTCATCAACCCACTCCTGGCTTGCCAACCTCATTGAAGGGGTGGTTAATGTCTCCCGCAATCTGCTTATGTTTAGTTTATTCGATTTTTTTTTTTCTTTTTTCATCCTAAAACAGAAAAGTGGTAAATTGTATTAAAGAGTTTTCTGTTGAGAGTGAGCCCTGTGCTTCAAAGAAAATAAAAAGTGCAATAATGGGGTGGGGAATCGCGTTGCTTATTTTTTCATTGTACGTCACAGAAATGTAAAGTTACAATAAAATAAAACCTTTTTTTGCTTCTTTTTTTCATTTTTTTTTTTTTTGTCCACAGATCGGAAACTGTTGTTGAACGTATGTTGTCAAACTGGATGTCGATTTGTTTATATCAGTATTTAAAGGTAATTATTCCAAGTTGCAGACTGACCAGCACACCTGGCTTACTAAATAAATAGAGATGAGGTTTTTTTGGACAGCACGATGTTCTGTAATGTGGTTTGTTGGACCCTGGTCTCAGAGAGCCGAATGGTGATAGTAAAGTCTTGGCTCAGTAAACGGTTATCTGTCAGTGGCTGCTTTTTACTCAAACAAGAGAAAAGTTTCCATTGGCCAAAAGTGTTCTCTAGATCCATTTCCATAACAGATTTTTATTTAATTTTTTATTTTTTTATTTTTTTTGTAACACAGGACACAGCTGGCGAACCGCTATACAAATTATTCAAGGCAATCAAACATCAAGTGGAAAAAGGCCCTGTGGATGCTGTACAAATTAAAGCCAAATACACACTGAACGATACGGGATTACTGGGGGATGATGTCGAATACACACAGTTGGTAAGTGACTTTTATTGTAAATTACTGTGAAATACCATAACGCAGAGAACAGGGTCACAGTGGGATTGGACTGTGTAACAAAGCATTTTTTTTTCGGTATAAATCCACATGTTTTCTCCATGTATTAACTTGGAATTTATAAACCAAGTGGCACGTTATGTTATCATTAAAAGATTAAATTGAGAATCTCCTGCAATTTTCTGTCCATGCTGTCTGACCCCCGGTGAAAGTATAGATGGGCTGCGGTTATTTCACGGAATAGCAAGTCCGGTTTATGTTAATTAAATTGTCTGGCAGTGGGACTGTCTGCAGAAATTCTTAGCAAGTCACACTGCTGCTTTAACTATGTGTATACATTTGTGGCAATGCACTTATGCTTATGATGTTGTTTACATATTGCTTAATAGTTACCAACTTGTAAATTACTGTGCATTTTCACAATATTTTTTTTTTTTTTACCCTTTCATCATTCATAATGGTCTATTAGTCATGCATTTAAAGTTTTGTACAAATGCAGTCAAAAACCCACTGACACATGTTTCCTTTCCACAGACAGTTAATGTCATTGTCCAGGGGGATGACGCTGAACCAGTACCCGTCAAAGTTCTAAACTGTGATACAATCACCCAAGTGAAAGAGAAGATAGTTGATCAGGTTTATAAGAACATTAATTTTTCACAGAGGCCAAAAGCAAGCAGCCTGGCGTTGGGTAAGCTGGATTTGTGACTTGGATATTTGCTCAAACTGACTCTTGCCGTCATTATGGTCTACATGTTGCTATAATGACCACTAATCATGTCCTCTCTAGGAAACAGTCATTTAGAATAGTTAACAAACTGGTGATTGGTTAGACGTGTCCGTTTCTAATACAATCAATGGCCAAATTGGTTCCCTGTAAACTCAGGCTGGATATCCAGTGTTGACTGAAGCCCACCAGAAACACACAGACCATTTACAACAATTTTATTATTTTATATAACCGCCTGATATAGACTGCTTAGAGGAGGACACTAAAATGCGCTCACTGGAAATTATGTCCTCAAAGTAGGCTGTACAGGGGAATAAAAACCCCTAATATCATGTCCATGACAACTTCACATAGTACCATCATATGCATAATATACGCAGTAAGTTATCTGAAGTATATTTTTCTTTCTTGCTAGCTCCCCTTTAAGTATTTATATTACACACTAGCATAAAAAAATCAATATGTTAAAGTTTGTTTAGCTTATGCCTCCCTTTAAAAAAGAAAAAAATAGCTAAAGAAAAGTTGCAACACACAATTAAAGGGATACTATTGTCACCAGAACCACTACAGCTTAATGCTATAGCATGTGCCTGCAGCCTTAGCATTGTAAATATGGTATTTTCTGAGAAAAGGCAGTGTTTACTATTGCTGGCTTGTTACACCTCTAGTGGCAGTCATTCACACAGCCACTAGAGGTGCTTCCTATCTCAGTGCTGCACAGTGTGCAGCACCTACATTCTGCATGGAGATGTTGAAGTTTATTGTTACAATTTTATGTCTTTTTAATTATATAGTTTTTTTTTGTTTTTGTTTTTTCTTGCATTTAGAGTGGAGGCCGGGCTCTACAGCACAGATATTGTCCGATTTGGATTTAACATCCCAGAAGGAAGGCCGGTGGAAGCGTGTTAATACACTCATGCATTATAATGTAAGAAAGTGTTCGATTTTTACCGTTGGGACGGGAATTGTATTTAATATCTGTTCATTTTTCAGTATGCGGGGGGGGGGAAATCTGTTTATACTAAAAGATTGGTTGTTTGAGACAAGAGGCTCAGTAATCCAACTGTTCCCAGTCACTAAATAGCATGAGATTTGATCATCATGGATTGCACACAGTAATATTGGAAGATGTGAAGGCAATGTAACCGTTTGTAGATCTATTGTTATCTAAAACAATGTTCCAATTGAGTGAGCTTTGTAGACATAGTTTGTTCTGGATGATGCATTTGAGCATATCAGACCATAATACGATTCAATGAAATGCAGAATATACTACATACACTGGGGTAAAGGGTCTACTTGAGCCGTATGCAAGACTTTCTTCATCTGTGGAACACGATCGCACATATATTCAAATACGTATAAACATATGGTGAATCCTGCTATATCGTGCAGTGGCTGGATTAACTCTTCAACCTTAATGAGTGTCCTATGCTATTAAAACAGTGATTCATCACAATAATTCTCAGCAAAGCTGCTTATTTCAACCACAGCTGAGTTTATTAGAGGGGCAAAAAAAAGGACAAGTTCTTAGAGGAGAACGATCACTTTTAATATTATTTTACATCCATTTAACAAATGTGTATGATTAAAAATAAAATTAAATGTAGTAATTCACACGTCTTTATCCTGCAACTGGGCACCTCCATTCTTAGATTGTGATGTCATTTGCAAAAATATTGTGCATTAAAAGAAAACAGATCTCATGAAAAAGGTTAAAGGTCCCCTATAGTCACCCAGACCACTTCAGCTCAATGAAGTGGTCTGGTTGCCAGGTCCCCCAGGTTTTAACCCTTCAGATGTAAACATAGCAGTTTCATAGAAACTGCTATGTTTTACATTGCAGGGTTAATCCAACCTCTAGTGGCTGTCTTCCTGACAGCCGCTAGATGTGCTTCCCCGACGCTCCATGCGAAAATCCCATTGAGCACGCAGAACGTTTTCCTGGCAATGCAGGTCCTCTCTCCCTCCCACCCCCCCAATCCCTGGTTGCTGAAGGGGTGAAAACCCCTTCAGTGACGTACCAGAGGCAGCGACATGTCCCACATCGTGCTTCTTCCTCCGCCGCCGCTCCTCCTCTGCATTACGTCTCCACCGGCCGGGGAAACCTAATGCGCATGCGTGGCAATACCGTGCATGCGCATTAGAGCTCCCCATAGGAAAGCATTGAAAATGCTTTTCAGTGCTTTCCTATGGAGAATTGAGCAACGCTGGAGGTCCTCACATAGCGTGAGGACGTCCAGCGACGCTCTAGCACAGGTTTCCTGTGCTATGAAGGAGGAAGTGCCCTCTAGTGGCTGCCTAGTAGACAGCCACTAAAGGTGGAGTTAACCCTGCGAGGTAATTATTGCAGTTTATAAAACTGCAGGGTTAAGAGTAGTGGGAGTTGGCACCCAGACCACTCCAATGGGCAGAAGTGGTCTGGGTACCTGGAGTGTCCCTTTAAGGTTAAGTGGCTGAAGGGGTTTTAACCCCCCTGAGGGTGGGGGGAACCTAATGATTATATAGTGTCAGGAAGAAGTTTGTTTTCCTGACACTATAGTGGTCCTTTAACGCAAGCTGTAGGTGATTTTCATATGTTTTTATCAGTGTGGTAGTTTCCAGAATAGTGTCAGTTCTCCCTTAACTTTGTCAGCCTTATTATAACTTTTTTCAATTACAGCAACTTTTGTTTCGAAGACAAATTCTAGTTATAGTAGAGATTCTCAGACTGTGTACAACACTTTAATAGGAGTAACACTAATAAACAGGTTCTTTTGTGGCTTTTCTAATAATCAAATTAACAAAGCGCCCTGATTGTTCACCATACATAATTATATAGCTAAATACAGCTAGTTTTCCTTTGTTTATTGTGTATAGGTAAGGGATAATGCCACTCTTATATTGTCGAGGATTGGAATTTCTCAACAACAAGAGGAAAATCACCATGACATCCCAGGGGAGAGTAAGTAGATATTTCATTTTAATTTTTTTTTTTTTATCAATATCCTAAAAGAGCATGATCTCGTTAATGTCCCTTTAATAAGATTCTGTATTGACTGGTTTTGAATCTCAATTACTATTTGTTCCACCATCAGCAAGTGAACCCCATTGTACAGCGCTACGGAATTTGTTGGCGCTATATAAATAATAATAATAATAATAACTTCCCACCACCAAGGCTTGATAAGAAACTTGTTGGCTGTGAAATGAATAGTCATTGATATTAAAACTATTGATTCAGTCAGGATTATTTAGTTGTATGTGCTTGGAACAAAGTTCCTAAATCCTGTTTCTAGAACCGAGCATGTGGACCTGTTCATAGTTCCCGCCCACATTATCGTTTGTTTCCAGGTCCAGATACATTCGTAAATTAAAAGCATTGATGTCGGTGAACATGTTGTATCCCCCACTTTGATGGAATGTTCTCGTTTCTTCAGGGCATGCTTTACTCGAAGACGAAAACAAAACGTGGCATCTTGTCCGTCCAGCAGACGAGGTCGATGAAGGCAAATCCAAAAGAGGAAGTATGAAAGAGAAGGAACGAACGAAAGCAATAACAGAAATCTACCTAACAAGGCTACTTTCTGTCAAGGTATGCTTCCAATAAACATCAGAATAGACTCCAACTATACAGGCTACGGTCACTTGTCAACCATAATTAATTTCGCGTTATCGTTACTTAATTTTGCATTGTCTGAAATATCTGCACAATAAATATCTTTAGAACATTTACTGGTCTTTTTTCAGAAAAAATTAACTTTTTTTTGTTTTACGAAAGACGGTGTAATTTTAGTTTTCTTTTTATTAATTTATATATACATTTGTCTAACAGGGTACGCTACAGCAGTTCGTTGACAACTTCTTTTTGGCCGTTCTCAATTCCAACCAAGTGGTACCTCCAGCTATCAAGTATTTCTTTGACTTCCTTGACGAGCAAGCAGAAAAATATGAAATTAAAGATGAAGACACTGTTCACATATGGAAAACAAATAGGTAAAGGTTTTTAAATATCCCTGATATTTTTTACAGGAAAATGTGTTTTTGTATTTTTTGGGGTGGGGGAGGAGTTTATTAATTGATTAGTGGTGAGCCTGCAACATCTCAGATGTACATTGAAATGATACACAGGCATGTAGAATCCCATCAGCAAGCATTTTTTATTTGGATCTAAATTTGACTTAGAGAAGGCAGCTATATGATGCTTGTCGTTGCCCTTGTATTACAACTTGACTTGCACTGCATAGACAGGCACAAACTGAAGTATCATGAAAAAATCTTTGCAATGTCTGCAAACAATACTGGGAGCTGCATTAAAATGTAGGGAAAATATATCTCTGTAGCTTTAAAGAAAATCAAAAAAGCAATTACTTAGGTTTAGGGATATTAAAAAAAAAAAAAAAAATCCAAACCTGAACATTTCTCCTATTCACCAAAAAATGAGTGATATGCAAAAAAATGTCATCTGTGCATCAGCAAAAATAAACTTTTAGCGTTTTGTTTTGTTTTGTTTTCCTTCCGCAGTTTATCTCTAAGGTTCTGGGTTAATATCTTGAAGAACCCACACTTTATATTTGACGTACATGTTCACCAAGTGGTGGACGCGTCCTTATCGGTCATAGCGCAGACTTTCATGGACGCTTGCAGCAGGACGGAGCACAAACTGAGCAGAGTGAGTTAACTGTGCCATTGCTGTGTTTTTTATATTTTAATAATTTTTATTTTTTTTTTATTTTATTTGAACAAAATAACTCCCACTAACAGAGCCATGCACTGAAAAGCGAGAATTTAAAGTGAATTCAAGGTGAATTTTTAATTTAAGGTTAAAGTAGCCAAAATGGAAGCATTATTGACCGTCCTAGAGAATGTTTCCAATTTGGCTAATTTTACCTTGAATTTAAAATTCACTTTCGTAAATAAACCTGTAAATCTAACCTTTAGAATACCATGTGTCGTTTTTTTCTTTGTCATTTTTTTTTAAATATACACATAATTTAACGTTTTCATATGCATGGATTGCAGTCTCCAAAAATGGTTTGTAAACAATAACTGTTTTATATATTGGCATGAACCTCAGAGTGATTGACACATTTCCATTCTTTACACAGGAGTCTCCGAGCAACAAGTTGTTATACGCGAAGGAGATTTCAACATACAAAAAAATGGTGGAAGAGTAAGTTTGGAGCTTTTTCATAGTTGAAACATTATTGTTTTTTTTTTTTTTTCGTTCTTTCTTGAGATGAACTGGTAACATTAGTAGAACTTCCATTCAACTGCCTCGGGTGATACAGGGTGGAGATGAGAGAGATAAGCTGGGAGATGACATGGCCAATGCTCAGTTGGCAAGGTTTAGAGTCGGTGGTGGGGGTAGACTTTAGAAGGGTTTGAGTGGTATGAGCAAATCCTGAAAATAGGAAGTCATCTGCATTGGATGTTTCGTTACTCTACTTCTCTACTCAAGCTTCCAAAAAAAGTCCCATTTACTGTTGTATGACATGTAGTATCAACAATACTCTCATTCACCATGTGTATTAATAATATGTGATCAATTAGGAGACAGTGCCCGCTTTCTACAGAGATCAGAGATTTTCTATATGTCACTGTGTAAAGGACACCCCTTATGTTGTGGGCTTGTTAGGCAGTGCGAGGTATTCGTAATTAGAGATAAGATGTTCTAAGAAGATAAACATTCAAATGAAGTTCTCATGCTTGGACTTCTAACCAAAGTTTGACGGTGTTTTAAGTGTTTCCTCCTGATAATTAACTTCCATTCATTTTTGTTTCCTACAGCTATTACAAAGGCATCCGTCAGATGGTATCGGTGAGCGACCAGGACATGAACACACATTTAGCAGAAATTTCAAGGGTATGTCTCTTGGTATCTTCTTCTGTATGTACCTTTGACTACACAGAGTTCCCTCTGACCACATGTCATTTTGCTGGGTCAATCCCTCAGACTGCACATAAGTTCTGCTGGGGCTGTGCCTAATTTAAAATACTCCCTGCATATACACTTTATCGTAACACGTTGAGCCCAGTTCACTTAACAAGGAGAATGAACAAGGGAATTGCAAATGTGTGTTACCGTTATCAATAGCTGCAAGATAAAATATTATGGCATGACATTAGATATTATTTGGGTGTCTGTGTCACTCGCTTGATGTAATATTATTAATGCTTTCATTGTGGGCAGGTGATATATTTGCTATTTTCCAGTAATCTAATATTTGTTTCTTTATTCCAGGCACACACAGACTCACTAAACACACTTGTAGCACTACATCAGCTGTACCAGTACACAAACAAATATTATGATGCGGTAAGTGTTTTACAATGATTTATAACTAGGTGTATTATATTTGTTGTTCTGTTTAGTAATTTGTCTTTTAAATGTCTGTTATATATTCGTAGAGTAAAAACGTATGTTAGTCATTGGTCATAGTGTTACTTAATAAGCCATAAGTTTTACATAAACCATACAAGAATCAAGATGGCACCAGGGACAAGTTAGCATGTTTCAGATTGGCTCAAACATCCAGTGGCATAGCAACCCAAAAACTCGCCAGTGCTGTACAGGGTCGCTTATCAAAAGTGGAATTTCAATGCGGAAAAATACAATAATTCAGAGAAAGGATCCCGTTATGGTGAAACACGGCAAAAGAACTGGCTTCTGGTTTTGTAGTTGCTCACATGGTCATATGTGCAATTATATCTGTATACATCAGATATTTTATTTTATTTTTTATTGAACAGATTCATTTGTTTTCATAGTGTACACACACAGTGTAAAGTGAGGAAACAAAAAAAAAGGTTAAAATCATATCTGATGTATACAATCAGTGCAGTTATTAATTACTGTGATTATTTAGCCGTATCAGTTCCTCACCGCACACCCCAGACTCCCAAGCTAATATGAAACGTCGCACACAAATTTTAATCCTCAGAATAGTTTTATATGCTTGGGAATTATTGTGTGGCTACATTTTTGGTGCTAAAGAAAACGTGTTTAAAACACACGGGGATACTATACATTTTACACATTTATTGTGGAATTGTTAAGCATTAGTTACTTGTGGCACAATCTTAAACTTAGGCTCCCCTGTGCTGGAATGTAATCTGCAGGGACTTTAGTGTGTTAAAAAAAGCATTGAGCAGGCAGGCTTCTCATAATGTAGAAAATCACACCACCTTTTTATTTCCCACCACAAACAACTCAAACACTTACAAATTCCCACCCCAAGCGACATCCAGGTGTAAACTGAAAAGTTCCGCGTTATTTCACATGTGAGCATTTTCATTGGGGATCTATTTTTTTATTTTTTTTTGTATACATAGTCGCTTTTGTGCAAAAAATCGGTGTGTTTGTTTTTCTTTGCGAGATCTATTGCCCGCATCCCACATTGCTGAGCTTTTTTCAGTTTTTATCCCACATTCTACATCCCACAAGGAAAGTTTTCATGCCACCTACCCTACATTTACTGGCTGTTATCTTCCAGTGGAAACAAAATAAAATGTGTTGATGTTGTTATGGTAGTGCTACGGGTTAAACCACAAACACAGATTCCAGAAGTAGAAGATAATTCAGAGTTGGTCATATACATGTTATCTTTCTGAGCGTTGCAAAAGATCAAACACTGTGTCTTTCTTATCCCGAACGTGGTAATTAATTTAGAATATAACCAGAGCAAAGATATATGAGGAAGGTACTGGGTCCAAAGGTTGTGTGTCTGCCACAAATCACACCGAGAACAATAATTGTTTAATTTGGCCATCGATTCAGATAATCCTATAATTTTATTTATTTAATTTTTGTTCTAGATCATAAACGCTTTAGAAGAAGACCCGGGAGCGCAGCGCATGCAATTAGCTTGCCGGTTACAGCAGATAGCAGCAGCTCTAGAAAATAAAATCACAGACCTCTGATTGGAAAGAACATGTTCCGGAAGAAAAAAAAAAGTCACAAAACAAAGATGTTAACATTTTTCTCTTCTTAAGGAAACAGAGTATTATATTTTTTAAAATGTCCTATTGCCTTTTTTTTTTTTTTTTTTAATTGAACAGATTCATTTGTTTTCATAGTGTACACACAGTGTAAAGTGAGGAAACAAGAAAAAGGTTAAAATGATTTTTACTGTAAATGAAGCCTCAAATTTTAAAATGTGTCCTACATGGGGTGGGGTGGGTTTTTATATAATGGATGAACTTGCACAAAACAGTTGGCTGCATTAACATTTTTTTAAATTGGGTTTTGCAAATCCGCTCCATCTTTTTTTATTTTTCCCCCCAATGTGTTTTTTAGCCAAGCAATATGTTTTATAAGCAATCATTTCAACTCAAAAGGACTTGGCAAATCTTGCACTTCCTCACGTTTTCCATACATAAGATGAACTGGACTTGCAGTGTGAAATTTGCACATTTGTATGGGAACACGGTGCCATGTGGCTTGGAAAATGCAACGTACGGCTGCGCAGATTGGAAACGGAATTCATGTTGCCAATACAAGCAAAAGATAAAAACACAAAAATCTGATTTCACTGAAGCACAAATCAAGGCTTGTCGCGTTTCCCCTTTTTTACGCTGAGTTTTATTTTATATAGATATACATTCTAATGTGCCTTACATGTTCCAGACATACAGATGAATACATGATTTTGTAAAGAGTACAGAAAATTTATTTATGCCACTGATTTTTTTTTCTTCTTTTTTCCTTTTGTGAAAAAAAGAAATCGTGACCTACCTGTAATTATTTGTGAGTCACTTTAGTACAAGCTGACCTGATTATGTACAAATTTCATATGTTTCTCTTGTATTAAAATGTTACTAGTATTTGTTTTGTTGCATCCAGTAGCTTAAAAAACAAATGCACCTCTACATTGTATCTTACATTAGGATTGTAAAACGCGTTAACAATATTATATTCATGTTAGAAATACCACAACCAGCATCTGATTGTAAACTTGAGATCTCCAATAAAGAGTCTCACATCTTATAAACGCTTGGATCAGAACAATATTCCATTGCAGCTCCTGGAAAGGCAAGTTTACATTGCACTTTACAGTTGGCACTCTGCAAGTAACATATTTTTCATTGTCATTGTGTATATGTGGTGACTATTGTGTCACTATCTTCTATGTGGGTCTCAAACCACTGACCACTGCCCGTTTGCAGTATTTTAACTGCTTTGCTATGGCCTATGGTGAAAGCTGTCAGCACCCCATATACTATACATACCTGTGTGTTTAACTGTGAGTGTTTCTATCGGTGGGGATCTGTGAGTTTTTCTGTCGGTGGGGATCTGTGAGTGTTTCTGTCGGTGGGGATCTGTGAGTGTTTCTGTCGGTGGGGATCTGTGAGTGTTTGTCGGTGGGGATTTCTGATCCTGTGTGTGAGCATTGGTAGCAGAGATAAGCGTCCCTCATGCGACACTATGTTTTTGCCAGTGTCCTCAAGTAAATTGTGTTTGAGACCCCCAGTCCATCAGATGGTTTGAGTATCAGGGTTATTCACTGAAGTGAGAATTGGAGGTAAAAGAAGAAAAGAAAATGAGCCTGGGGGCTAATGGGACACATGGAGGGTGGGAGGGGGGCTAATGGGACACATGGAGGGTGGGAGGGGGGCTATTGAAACATACAGGGCTGGGAGGGAGCTAATGGGACAAAGGGGGGGGGGCTAATGAGACGCATGGAGGGGCTGGGGGGCTAATGAGACATATGGAGGGGCTGGGGGGCTAATGAGACATATGGAGAGTCTGTGGAGAAAAAAGACATGGAAGGGTCTGGGGAGAAAGAGACAGAGGGGCTAAGAAAGACGAACAAAAGACACACAGAGAGACTGGGGAAGGGGAGAATGAGAGACACACAGGAGCTGTGCAGAAAGACACACACAGAGGTGCTGGGGCCTGGGAATGAGACTCACAAAAGGGCTGGGGAAGGGTAGCATGAAACACAGAGGAGCTGTGGGGGAAAGAGACACACAGAAGTGCTGCAGCCTGGGAAAGAGACTAACAGAAGGGCTGGGAAAGGGGAGAAAGAGACAAAGGGGCTGGGGCTAAGAGACACATGAAAGTGGTGTGGGGGAGAAATACGCAAACAAAGTGCATCTTTACTTGTGTCTCCTGCTCTCCCTGTAATTTAGAGTTGACCGGTGGCAGAAAGACTTTGTTTTAAAGGGACACTATAGTCACCAGGACTACTACAGTTTAATGTAGTGGTTCTGGTGGCTATAGCCTGTCTCTTTAGGCTGAGCACTGTAAATGCAACCTTTTTTAGATCTCTAGTGACAGTCACTCAGATGGCCACTAGAGCTGCTTCCTAGTCCAGTGCTGCACAGTGTGCAGCACCTATGTCGAGCATCTCCACGCTCTGCATGGAGGCGCTGAACGCTCCCCATAGAGATGCATTGATGCAATGCATCTCTACGAGGAGATGCTGATTGGTGCGATGAAGCACAGCGTTTTGCCACACATGCGCAATAGCCTCCGAATGCTTTCCTATGGGAATTAAATTAGTGTTGACTGAGATCATCCAGTTGTCAGCCAAAATGAAGAGCACACTTGTTACTTCAAAATGAGCAAGAGAACGTCCTTTTTTTACTGCTGTACAATAGCATACATTCACAATTTCAGTCCAATTCCGAAACTCTCCTTAATATGTCAAGGTAGTTGGACTGAAACATTGATTATATGCAAATGCACGTCTGCTTACAACAAATCCGCTCTTTTCTTTAGTTTGAAGCCCAATGGGTTTTTTGGGTTTTTTGACGTTTCTGTGACAGTTTTAAGTTTCAAGTTTTTTTTTTAATTTAAAAAAAAAAAATCCTGCCTTCATATCTGCACGATATGCTGGCGCGATGCAGTATGGGGCTGGTATAGAATTTTTTTTCCTTGGCTGCTTTTCATTTCCTGTCCGGCCCTGCCAGTACCCTACCAGAATAAATACTAAACCGTAATGGAAAAAAATTAAAAAAGAGAAAGAATGACATTTTATTAGGTCAATAATTAAAAACTAACACTCAAAAAACTGGCACAAGAAAGTGCTCAAAGTGCTCAAGTACAAAGAAAGTGATATGACTGCAAGTATATGGGATAAGAGGGATAAATAGTAGTAATTCACCCCAGTGTGTAGCAAATTTTGGTCATCGATAACTACAGCTAATGCCCACCGGGTGGCACCATTCACTAAAGGTCAAAGAAATTCTATCCCCATAACTTGCTGTGGACTAGTATCGTGTCCCAAAACCTAAAGTATAACCAGGTATCAGCCTACACGTCTGTAACAACAACGATATTTAGGAGATCAAAGTGAAGCCTTACTTATATAGCATTGATTACTTTATTTTCTGGCTATTTATTTTGCCAGCAACCAGTATTAAAGGGACTCTCCAGTGCCAGGAAAACAAACTGTTTTCCTGGCACTGCAGGTCCCCTCTCCCTCCCACCTCCATCCCAAGTTGCTGAAGGGGATAAAACCCCTTCAGTGACTTACCTGTATCCTGCACCGATGTCCCTCGGCGCTGGGTCAGGCTCCGCCTACGCTCCTCCCCTGCCAACGTCAGCTGGCGGGGGAGACCTATTGCGCATGCAATTCAATGCTTTCCTATGGTGATTTCGGCGACGCTAGAGGTCCTCACATAGCGTAAGGACGTCCAGCGTCGTTATAACACACTTTTCGTGTTCTATGAACCCAGAAGTGTCCTCTAGTGGCTGTCTAGTAGACAGCCACTAGAGGAGGACTTAACCCTGCAATGTAAATATTGCAGTTTATGAAAACTGCAATAATTACACTTGCAGGGTTAAGGGTAGTGGGAGTTGGCACCCTGACCACTCCAATGGGCAGAAGTGGTCTGGGTGACTGGAGTGTCCCTTTAAGTATCAGCATACAGACGTGTAGGCTACTACCTGGTTATACTTTAGGTTTTGGGACATGCTACTAGTCCACAGCAAGTTATGGGGATATAATTTCTTTGACCTTTAGTGAATGGCGCCACCCCGTGGGCATTAGCTGTATTTATCACTGACCAAAACTGGCTACACACTGGGGTGAATTACTACATTCATTATCCCTCTTATCCCATATACTTGCAGTCATATCACTTTATTTGTACTTGAGCACTTTCTTTTACCAGTTTTTTGAGTTTGTTAGTTTTTGATTATTGACCTAATAAAATGTCATTCTTTTTCTTTTTCAATTTTTTGCCATTACGGTTTAGTATTTATTCTGGTAGGGTACTGGTCACCCATATAGTTCCACTCTACTATATATACCTTACTATTTTTCCTAGTTCCCTCGCAGGTACACTGTCTTTCTTTCTTTGAGAATTCAAGGTGTATACAACAAGACTTTTTAATCTTCTGAAAATCTACTTCGGAAAGCAATGATTTCCTATTGGGAAGACCTAAAACATGGATGGTGCTCGCTACGCCATGTGCATTAGATCCCCCTATTGCCAGGAATTTGCAGGCCGATCCAACACCGAGTGGCCTTTTTGACATGGTGTTTGTAAATGGATCCAAGATAATTCATGGTTTAGCAACACCTGTCTAATCTCTAGGCGCTGGGCAGCTGCCTATTGCCTGTATATATCTTTTTATTTTGGAAGGCCAGGTTGTGAAGTATTGGGGTTATTTTATAGTTAGGTGTTACAAGGCCAGGGGGTGCATCTTCCACCCATTTACTACCCTTTCACCCTAATGTACATGTGGTGGTATAAGAGGACGTTCTACATATCCGGCCTTCCATAATTATTAGGGGTGGTGACCTCGCAGGGCATCCTGACCTCCTTGATTAAGCAGGACAGTCTTGATTTGGACCACGTCCATGCTCCTGTGACATCAGGAACAGTTCCTATAAATTGTAATTATTAAGGAATGCCAAATTGTTCCAGTGCCTTTCTACTATCAGTACAAGAAAACATTGAGCACTCTG